ATCCTTGGTGTACAGTGGCATGTATCTAGGCTCTGTGACAGGATTGGCCTTTTCACCAATTTTGATCCACAAGTTTGGCTGGCCTTCTGTGTTTTACTCCTTTGGCTCACTTGGAAGCATCTGGTTTGCATTATGGCTTGCCAAGGTATACACGCTTTTTTCTTCTTACATTAATTACCTCTATATTGGATTCATGTAACTTTTAGTTGCATGAATATCATGTAGATATGCAAAAGACAATGATTTTCATGCTATAACTGCTACCATCACCGTCTATAGCGATTTATGCCCTGTGAATATGCTTTACATCACAGGTTCAATGCCTACCCTTTGTACCATGATTTGGTTGTAATCTGAATATCATTATCATGCTGTAGTCTTTTTATTTTTCTATTTTTCATGTCATTGTTGATACCATATAGGTGAGATGAAGATAAACTTCAGAACTAAGTTGAATATCTTTTATAATCACCATTGATTCCCTTTTCTCTTACATAATCATGTTTGCATGTCGCTTAAATTGTATTTATTGAACAAGTGAGATAAATTGTGCACTGCTGAATTTAATTGAAAATCTTTCATATATGTGTTTGGGTTTTCCTAGGCATGTCACCCATCAGTGTATGAACTAAGTGCTCGAGAAACAAAGGTTCATCTTGTGAGGCACATGATCCTTAAATGCAAATGGCACTAATATTGCATTTAGCAAAACACATGTAAAATGCTCAAAAACTCATACTCATGACCACTTCCCCAAAGCCTTGAATGAGGCCCCCACCTACACAGGGTGGGTGAGGTCCAATGTAATCAGCCCGAGAGTTATTTTCATCATTCCCTTATTTATTGCAACTTCATGGAAAAAAGTTTGCGAAAAAATTTATGAAGCTATTTTCGTTTTAGTACTTTTTTTTTTTTTTTCTCCTTTCTATTTGTCACGTATCACTGAAAATGAAATTACCTAAAAGGTGTGGTGTTTTGAACTTCAGAATTCTGTGTAATTAAATAAATTACATTTTTCTTTGGCTTCTCACAGGCTCGTAGCACACCAACAGACGATCCAGAACTTAGTCCCCAGGAGAAAAGGTTTATCATGGAAGGCAGCATAGCCGAGGAGCCTGTTACTGTCATTCCCTGGAAACTGATTTTATCAAAACCTGCAGTCTGGGCTCTTATAGTTTCCCACTTTTGCCACAATTGGGGTACATTTATTCTTCTGACATGGATGCCAACGTATTATAATCAGGTATTGGTCTTTTCTTATACGAAGTATTAAATATGTAAATATTCATTTCTGTTCCCAGTGAAATTGTCTATCGTTTGGGTTCCTGCGTCTTGTTTATTGGGGAGTAATTCTGACGTTTTTGTGATCCATTCATATGACAGTTCTTAGGAGTTAAGACTGAAAATTTTATTTTCTGCCTTTTTTTTTTTCTCAAAAAGTCAGAATCCTAGTGTATTGACATGTTCAAGGGCTTTCATGATCTGACTCAGCTACTTATGTCAGGTGTTGAAGTTCAACCTTATGGAATCTGGGCTGTTCTGTGTACTTCCATGGTTGACTATGGCCGTGTTTGCAAATATAGGAGGCTGGATTGCTGATACACTTATCAGCAGAGGCGTCACTGTTACTTCCGTTCGTAAGGTGTGCATAATACTTGCATGATAGATAATATATTTACATATGTTTTCTGTCTTTGTTATAATTGGACTCTTTGAGTGGTAGAATCTGAAAATAGAGTATAATAATTAGCTGTTTAGCAAGTATAGGTGTATACCTTTGTTTTAATTACTGTACCTTATAAACCTTACCATGCTCGTACTATAAGGTTCTGCATGTCGCATCGACAACTTGGATTGGCAGTTGATATTCATAGCCTATGTTACTCAGATGCTTTGGACTTCCCATTCCTTGTTTGAAATTTGAAGTATCTGACTTAAATATGATAGCTCTTTAGGATCACAAGCAAGTATCCATAACCATTTGAGAAGACAGTTAAGATGTACTTGTAAATGATCATTGCTACTTGGCTATTTGTCCACTGGTGGTCCTTTCAACTACACTGAAATTGGACAAGCAAGATCAAAACATAGATTTCTCTGATTGGATTTTTATGTTTCTGCCCATTCATCTTTGTCGCTCTAGCATGATTATCCATAGAGTTTAGAGTATGATGACTAGAGCATATATTTAAATTGTATTTCTCTAATTTTGTACTCAGTATAATTTGAAGAACCCACCTGCTATTTTGTATGTGAATGTAATTAATTGTTAAGATGACAAAGATGTTGTTATATGCCTGTTTATACATTGGGAGCAGTTTCTTTTGTTTCTTTTTTTTTTAGCAGAGTTGTTATTTCATGGCCGAATATTCTTGTTGGAACAATTTTATTTTATTTTATTTTTAAATGCTATTATGAATTTATGATACATCTATAGGCATAGAGCTTGTTGAGGATACAACATGTGAACAACTGAACTTTATGGTTCGTGTTGGATTAGTCTTCTCTAAGGCTTTTACCATCTCTTTGCAGATCATGCAAACTATTGGATTTATTGGCCCAGCTATCTCTCTTTCAGTACTAAGTCAAGTCAGGACCCCTGCTTTAGCTGTACTCTGCATGGCATGCAGTCAGGTATATGCTTTCTCCAAAAGACTTACAAGAACTATTATTCGTGCAAGTTACCTGTTACATATTCATATGGCATAACAGAGCCATTTCTTCAATTTGTACAGTTTGTAGTATCTATTTGTTGGTTTCGCGAAAATATGAAAATGAAAATGACATTAGACACTTGTGATGGATGACAGGGATCAGACGCGTTCTCACAATCTGGATTATATTCCAACCACCAAGACATTGGGCCTCGATATTCTGTAAGTTTATTTAATCTTTCTTTGATCCCCATCTATCGACCTTTAGTCCGACCAAAAAAATAACACTATTTATTGACATATCCATTTTTTAGGGTTTTTTTTTTAAATAGAAGTATACTTGTGTGTGTGTGTGTGTGTGTGTGTGTATATTTTCTGTACACCATTACATTACTGATCTGTTGGAGCCTATGGGTCTGTCCTTGTTGAGATGTAAGATGTTTGAATTTGATCCGCTGTTATCAAGTACAAACTAATCCTTGAGGTGTATGCTTTGTCTCAAGAGTATCTCTGAACCCCCAAGTGCGTAGTAAATTAGTAGTAGGTGGCCATGGGAATTGTGGTGGTTTTCTGGATCTGCAGGAGACTCGAAGTGGCCCTACTAAACTTCCTTTCCATCAACGTGGGGCAATGGGAGTTGACTCCCTTTCTCAAGAGTGTTCTAATTGACTCCCAAGTTCCATACATTAGCTTGGGCATGTCAATTAGCAACGGCTCCTTTAGCTTCTCAATATGCTTAGTCAAGGCATACCCCAGGGATCAATATATGCCACCCTTTGCTCCGGAGTAGCTCCTAAGTCCCAAATCCTAGTTGACAGAACTACTGAAGTCCAAGTAACCCATGCAACATCATGTCAAGGGATTCTAGTCCATCCTTGACAAGAATGTCACCCTTGGTCTGTGGAAAGTTGGTACAATGTAACACCCTTGGTCTGTAGAAAGTTGATACAATGTAAACTTGGTCTCAAGTAAACATGCTGCTATTGTCCTGAACTTCTGAAGTCCTTATATTTGGCTTGTTTTCTTATCCCTCTTATATCTCTGTGCCAAGTTCAACCCTCAATAATCCTGAACTATGCTTTTTCGTTAATTAAAAATCCCAATTTAAAATCGCAGGGTGTATTGCTGGGGTTGTCGAACACAGCAGGTGTTCTTGCTGGAGTCCTAGGTACAGCTGCCACTGGATTCATTCTCCAACGAGGTATATACATTCTTCTGTACTCTATTTTGTATACTGAACACCTGAACTTCCTCAGACTGACTATTTATTGATGAATCTGGTTGATAGGCTCCTGGGATGACGTGTTTAAGGTATCAATAGCATTATACCTTGTTGGGACTTTAGTATGGAATTTATTTGCGACTGGAGAGAAAATCCTAGACTGAAAGGGCAGTAAAAGTATATAAGAAGGATAGGCCTTTTCTGAATCTACAGTCTTCCACGGTACTTGTTATCTATTCCGGAAATGATGAAACGGTCGATCACCACACTATATTTAAGGATATTGTGATCGAGGAAAGTGTACGTTGATTTGGCAACAATAGGTACTCTTTGACCCTTCTTAAGACTGGAGCAAGAGTCAGCATGGATAACTGTGATTTCTGTTTTTGTTATATTTCAACCTTCGTAGTTTAGGAAAAATTTTGAGGAAGATGATGCCTCATCGAACTTTGATAAAAAATCAAAATATTGAAGTCCTTTTTCTGTATTAGCATGTCCTTTTTCTGTATTAGCATAAAGTCCCTATATTAGGTGAAAGAAGAAAATTGTTAGAAGACCAACATGTAATTGCTTAGAGAAAAAGCCTGTTATAAACGTACAATATATGAATGTAGTTCTTTCTTTTTCTTCTTTTGTTCCCTTTATTTTCTCTGCATCCTGTTTGTTGTTCATGCTTACTTTTACTATGTTATTTTGAAGTTCATGCTTACTTTTACTATGTTATTTTGAAGGGAAATGAGATCAATCCTCTTTTGCTAACCCGAACCAAACTCCACCTAAAGAAAGGGCAAAATCTAATCTTAGATTCACATTTGAACTCATTCTCATATCCATCTGTCTCAAAGTCTGAGTAGCAGAGTTGCATACTGAACATAAGATCTTGGATTAGACGGTCTGATCAGAATCGTCTGACCCAAGTTTTTGTACGCAAGCAAGAATTAAGGCAATTCATTTTCCTGCCTCATCTTTCCATGTTTTTTGTTTAATTTAAGGATTGAAAACTTTCATACAAGTAAATGTTCCCCTAAAGAAGTGGGAAGCCAACAAGAAATCCCCACGCCATTAACCAGAAACTGTTATTATAATACATAGTCTAAAAGAAGACAGAAAAAGTGTAAATGTAATGAAGAATGAAAATTAGACTTTATTATTACTTCAAATATTATACTGTAATTACAAAATGTCAATAAACAAATTAAACCAAAATTGAAAAAGAATTGGCTGAACAAATGTTTCTAAGGGGTGCCCTACTATTGTAGGGTGGTTGGCCCAAAAAACACAGGACTATAAATGCCCTCTGAAATCTGAATACAAATTACAAGTTTTCCATGAATTACAACACCAAACAGCTGTATCAAAGCGAGCCCCTTTAATCCTCAGTAATTATTCAAACCCATGTTGTGTGTGATTCATCCGCTGCTCACATATTAATTGTAACGTACCTTTCTATCTTTCCATGCTCTCCCCTTAAAATTGAGCCATAATAACATTTACTGCAGTAAAAACCCTGAATTCTTCTGTTATCTGACAGTTAATTTTCTTTCTCTTGCTTCATATTTGCAATTACTTGGCTTAGGTCCCTTTGGTGCACATCCACCTTAATAAAATTGAGCCATAATAACATTTACTGCAGTAAAAACCCTGAATTCTTCTGTTATCTGACAGTTAATTTTCTTTCTCTTGCTTCATATTTGCAATTACTTGGGTTAGGTCCCTTTGGTGCACATCCACCTTAAGCCCATGCTTCATGAATAATGTCATTGACATCTTTTGCTCCACCTTATGCCCTGGCGCCACGGCCAAACGGTGGCGGAGCAAAACTGAGGCTGCCACCGATTTCATCTGTAGGTAAGCCAAATCCTTCCCTAGGCAAATTCTTGGCCCTGCATTGAAAGCCACAAACTTGAAATGATCATGCATGATGAACTTTGTACCATCAGGGGATAACCACCTCTCTGGCTTGAACTCTAAGCAGTCCTCTCCCCATGTGCTCTGCATCCTTCCTGCAGAGTATATCGAGTATGATATCGACGACCCTGCTGGCACGAATGTACCATCAGGCAACACGTCGTCAGCCATCACATGCTTCGAGTCCTCCGGGACTGATGGGTATAGCCGTAGGGTCTCTGACAATGCTGCCTTAAGGTACTCAAGACGATCCACCTCCTCGAAATCCAACGGCTCATCCACCCATTTTGCCGTGTCAGTGCCACGTGTTTCTGTCAGGACAGTGCATATCTCAAGCAAGACCTTCTCTTCAACTCTGGGATTCTGTATCACTAGCCAGAAGAACCAGCTCAGCGCCACGGAGGACGTGTCACGTCCAGCTAGGATGAAGTTTAATGCCACGTGTTGCAAGAACTTATCCGAGTAGGATGAGTATTCCTTCCTCTTCATGAACCTAGAGAGCAAATCATCATAGTCCTTTTGCCTGCTCATCAACTCTTCCTTACGCTTATCAATTACTTCAGACAAGTAATCGTCTATCTTAACAAGGCTTCGGCTCAAGCTAACTTCTAGCCCGAGCCGGAGCCATTTCTTGAGCCTCCATATGATTTCCGGAAACACGAACCGTTGGAGGCATGCTTCCGTGGCCCGGTCAAAAGCGTTTGCAAATCCATTTTCTGGTAGCCCTGGCACAAGGGTGTGAGGGTCCCCGCCAAAAGCCAAACCACAAATGTTGTCAAAAGTAAGCCGAAGCATGAGGTCCTGCATATCAACTGGTTTAGCTTCACTCTGAGCCGTCTCAAGGATGGGGCACAACCGTCCATGGATGGCTCGGTTGACCCACCGAGCCATGGCTTGGCGGAGGGTTCGAGTGGTGAACTCGAGGGCGGCCGTCTTCCTTTGGAATAACCATGTATCACCATCCGAGTTAAAAATTCCAAACCCAAGTAGATCATGAAACACAGCTTGCCAAGTTGGACCCTTTGGATAGTTATCAAACCGGGTCTTGAGTATATGCTCTAGATTCCTTGGATCACAAGTAACCGTAACAAGACCTTGCTTCCGAGCCAAGAAAGGTACGGCACAGATGCAAGTTTGGTACGTGCCACCACACGCGCGGAGATTATCAGCCATCCAATCATGCATCCTCTCAAAATTCTCGATCAAGCCGGGGAGGCTGCCCAATAAGGGCCAAACACGTGGACCCCTTAGTGATCGTGATATGAAGGTGAACCATAACAAGTAAGATGTAACGGCAGTAAACAATAGCAAGGCTACATAAATATCCATTTTTTTTAGTACAAGATTTCTTGTATAACTAGCCTAAGAGGTAAACCAAATGTATAAGAAAACTGAAAATGTAGGTTTACTTGAAGAGATTATTTTCCCCTTACAATTAAACAAAACATAACTTTTAAAGAAATCCTCAAAATTTGGCTGCTTCTCTTAAGCATCAAACTTTACCAAAAAAAAAAATCATCAAAATGCTCAATAATCTTCTTTTCTTGGTTTAATCTTCAAATAACATCATCAAAATTGGCATGCAAGTCACTTTCTTACTTCTTAGCTTGCTAGAGTCCTGAAAATAAACAACAAGAAAAAAACAAAAAAAAAAAAAAATGCAAGAAAATGAGGAAAAAAATGGAAAGAAAAGAAGGTAATAAAGAGAAAAACAGGGGAAGAACAGAGCTAGAAAGAGGTAGATTATTATGAGATGAGAGAGGAAGAATAAGAGGAAGAAAATATATAAGAAAAGTGGTAGGTGATAAATTAAAAAGACAGAGCAATTACTAAGGCCAGTTGTAGTTCTTAAATTAAATTCACCCACTTTCTTCCATCCTTCTCTTATTATGTCTCACACAAGAGAACTTGATGTGTTTAAGTTGTAACTAGTAACCATTTTTCTGCACCCCTATTTATGGAAAAGTGGCAACAAGAGGGGGAGAGGGAGGGTGGTGGAGGTGTTGAAATAATGGTGTCACACTAAAGCTAGTATGTAGTAGTAGCGACAGTTATTATAGCGGTAAAGAAAAACACGGGTGCAGATACATTAAACTGCACGAACGAATAAGACTATTATGTTTACTACGTGTATTAGCCACCTAACACGGTAAGGTTAAAATGTGAATATAAAAAAGGTTGTCGTTTTTTCTATTTACTCGTTGTTCTTATCTTATTAACGTGTCTAGTTTATTAAGGGTGAAATGTCGTTTTATTATTATGTGTTACATGTTTAACATATAGTTCTACTCACTAGGTGGAAAATTAATTAATAAGGGAAAGAGTGAAGCATCATACCTCAAAAGGCTCAAAAACATAACATGAACCTTCCTTTGTCTTCTTTATCAATGCCTTTTCCACCTAACTTCAGCAGGGCTTTTAAGTTGATGCATTCAATGGAGAGAGAGAGAGAGAGAGAGAGAGAAAGAGAGATATTTATTGTGATTAGTTGAGAAACTAGCCCTCACTCTATTATGTATGTTTGATTCCAAATATTTAAGGAACTAGTAAGATAAATAGAGAGACAAAAGAAGTGTAATCTTTAACACACACAATTTAAGGTTTAACAAAGCTATATGACTTGATTAGTTGCTTGATAACAGCAATTAGTTCCTTCGAGATCACGATATCACAATTCGATATAGTTACCAAAGAAGAAAGAAACTTAATACGAATCAAGAAATGGGGTTAATTTGTAATCGGGTTTTGAGGGAGTACTTAATCAAGTAATTTTGTGGTGATTATGGAAAAGAAATTAAGGTGGAAGATGAATTTAAGAAGAGATGAGAAGATAGGTCAGGGTTGGGTGAGCAACCCAACCACAATTTAAAGTTTCGTGTAAGATTTTTATGTAAGAGATTCCAATCTAGCTATCCTTTACTTTTGCAACAAAAGAGTGTCATAACTCTTTAACAGTCAACGCCTTCTTCTTGATGAATATAAATGATTGTGATGAATTATATAGAGGGACAGTCCAAATGCATGGTAACAAATTAAATTTAACCCAAAGTTTTTATATTCATGAAAACTAAGTTGGGTTTACCATCTATACCAGATTAGTGGAAAAACATACACATTTATAGGTTGCCTGTTTAATATGTAGCTGTCTAACACCCTACCTAAATTATGCTTAGTTAAACAAGTATTTGAATGATGTTTGTTGACTAGTGTTTTTTATTGGATGTGCAATGTTTTAGGGTCTTAAACAAGGTTTTTAAATGTAAGTTTGAAAAAGTTTGCTAAAAACTGCTTTGAATTTGTCTTGGAAGTCGACTGAATACGAACAGATTCAAGTTCAAAACTATTATATGGTATCTAAAAGACTAAAACTGATCTAATTGACCTATACGACATATTTAGCCACAATTTCATCTTAACTTCAATACTCAACCCCAAAAAAGACAAATTAATTGTCGTCTAATCATTAAGAGATATTACGAGTAATACCAAGTATCATCATCGAATTTTCAATGATCACTAAACAATACGACCTTGAGACTTTTCTATGAGTGCCACCAAACTTTACATGATCTTGTGCAGAATGATATGAGATATCGACCATCCAAAATACATACGAAATATAACGTTATTCATCAGCTTTGATTAATACCAGTTCCATACTTAACAACACTTTATACATGGAACAAGAAAGTACTCCCTCTGTCTTTATTTGTTCTTCCTACTTTGCCTTTTTTATCTCTCGAAATAATTCAGAATCAAAAGTACAATGGAAACAAAGGTTTCCTTTTAGGATATATATAAATAATAAGTTGTTTATAGTGGGTAATTTGGCTAAGCCTAGGCGGTGGATGTTTAAGTTATAGTTAGATCTTTCCTTCAATAATTGGGCTAAGAAAGATAGGGGTATCAAAATGGGCCTTTTTTTAAATGGTTACATTTGGGTTTTCTTGCATTGGGCTTCCGTTTTGCCCATTTGTAGCTCCGATTGCTCAGACTCTGATCTGTTCCAACACCTAAAACTACATACAAACATGTACAGAACAATAAACAGTACTGCAATTAGTTATTAAGCATTAATTTGAAATCATTTAAATTGCATAATCTCTCTCCGAAATTACTCTTTCCAAACAATGATGTTACATACGCATGATCGCATAAGTTAGGGTGCACATAGCAGATTCGTGCTGTTTGACATAATGGATTTACAGTTACAGTCTAAGATGATAATAAAAACAAAAGCAGAAAAAGAAAATATACAAGTAGCAAGTACCTTAAGCAGGAAAGTGCAATGCAATTAATCATTTACATGAGTCTTAACAGCAGCTGGAACATATACCTGTAGATCAGCTTGTGCATTACCACCCTTCGCATGTGAATCTTATATCTAAACTACGCAAGACTTCCTCCCAAACTACGGCAAAGAGTTGAGGCCAAACAATCTTCCAAATTAGTAAAAGAGTCTAAGCAAAAAAGTGCCATCATATGTCAATTTTTTCAATGGCCATCCCGAGATGCAACATTATGCTGGTGTGGGCATCAGTACAAGAAAGCCAGATCATCGTCTATACAGGTATCTTGAAATGGGAAACTTCAGACTTCTTGCAATCTGTGAGCAGATTTGAAAGGTAAGAAACATATATGATGACATAAATTTGTAAGAAAGGAACTCTGTTCAATATCAACCACATCAGAAATTTACCTTCACAGCCAATTCTTCAGATACAGTAGACTTGTAACGAGTTGAGCCCTCCAGTGGACAACTGCTTCCCTTACTTACAAAATTAGCATTACAGAGACTGGACACTTGCAAAAGAACATTAGAAGTGAGGTCATTCTGAGCTCCTTGGTTTCCCAGGGAGCCATCATCATCATCATCATGCACTTCTTCGTCAACAGACTCATCTATCCCATATGTGATGCACTGAAAGATAGCTAATAGCCTTTCCAATGGAAAAGTCCCAGGGCCCTTCAAAAGTAATTCCTGCTCTGCCATTTCCTTCTGCTCCGTTGACTTCTCAGAACACCTACAGAGCCATTATATGAGAAAATCCAACGCACAAGCACACACGCCTTATTAAGAAGATACAGCTTTGTTTAGAACCAAAGCAGGACAGAAATATTGCCAATATTGCAGGTCTGTTGAAAACTATGGGTGGCTAAAGATCATCAAAAAGACAGGCAAACTCTAGAATTTTAGCATCTTGGGAAGACGTCCCCCATACATGAAACGACATACACACTAGCAGGCAATATTGTTATATAAAGTATGTCTCACTATTTAAGCTATAGCCTATAGCCACTAGCCAACCCTCATCATAAAATGACAGTCATTTGAATTGATAGACCTAACTCAGGATGACAAAACTAATGATGCACTGCTTATTGAAAGCTGGAAGAAACTTACTTTCTCTTCTTTCTGCCATTAGATTGACCTCCTGTCGAATCAAAAAATGAAGCATCAAGAGTAGCAGGATTTCTTGAAGCAAGAAATGCTGAAATAAGAAGATACTTTGCTGAAACACACATGTGGAAATCCAACTCTTCCTCCTGAGCTCCCAATTTCTTTGCACTTGCCTTTCCCTTCACTACGTTTGTTTTAGCTTCAACATCAAGTGATGAAATTTTAAAAACTTCATTAAGAGAAGGGCGAATATGCGGCACAAGATGACTAAAAAGTCTTCGCTTTGCATCTTCTCTTTTTTGTTTGGTTTCCCAGCTAAAGTTAGATCCTGGATCATTCAAGGGCTCACAGTATTTCTCATACAGTGGATGGAATGCAACAGATAATTCATCAACTTGTCTTGTGACTCTAGAGAAAGGCTTCAGAACAATACAGTAAGCAAGAACATAATCACATAAGCACAAACAAACCCTCATTACCAATCATTAAGTTCAATTATTAGAAGAACTTAACAAAATTTTAATGTAGTATAAGAGAAACTTACTCTAGGAAACAGGAATTAAGCTCCGGTTTTTCTCTTTTCAGCATGAAAATTTGACGAAGATCCTTCTCCGTATATCCAGGGAAATATAGAGGGACAGGCTCAAAATGACCAGAATTTGAATAGTAAACATCAGGAGACACTTTACTTAAGAAGATTATACCAACTTCAGGCAAACCCAGCATTCGATAGAGACCAAACAGAAAAGGCAAAACCGTAGAGCTTTTATCCCACTCTCGAACAAGCTCAAAATCGTCGAAAATTAAGTAAATCATATTCCCTAAATCATCTGTAGACCTTCTCTTCGAACTCAATTTCGCAGATTTCCCCTTCAAAATGTCCAAAACACTAACCAATGCTTCTTTAACAAAGTTGGCAAAATCAGAGGGCTTATCACACTTCTTAACACTCAAGTAACCATTTTCCTCACTCCTTTTATGAAATGCCAACTGATTCAAGATAGACTCAAACAAAATCCTAGGACTATAACACGAAACACAGCTCGAATAAACGAATGGCCGCTTAAGATATCGAAAAATCTCAAGGATGATGCTAGTTTTCCCGGTTGAAGTACCGCCATAAATAAATAAAGGAAGCATAGGAGAATTCAAGGGACCCAAATGACCTAAAACCTCAGTAATCTGAGTAGTTCTACCAGGAAAGCTAGAAATAAGATCATCCAAACTTAAATTTTTATCATCGCCATTTCTAGAACTATATATAAAATCATAAACTGTTGGTTTATAAGAAATACTCTTTCTTGGTTTTTCTGAACAATTATCTGCAGAAACCAAAGATCTTGTTGTTCTTCTACTAGATTGTGGGATTTCTTCATTACCCATTTGAATTCAACAGCAAAATTAACAAATTCAATACGTTAATCCAATACCCAAATCCTCAATTGAAAGATAATCCTATAATTTAAACATCAAATCCTTCAATTTCAAATTCACTTTATAAAAAAAAAAAAAACCTAATTCAAAGCTGCGACGCCGCAGGAAGAGAGTGAGTATGTGAGTGAGGAAATTAAGCAATGAATCAAAGTAAGACGAGCATACCTAGAGAGAAAGAGAGATTTTGAAGTTAATTTCTTCGTCGGAAAAGTTTGAATTTGGCCGGAATCCTGCTTATTTGTTCCTCATATTGGAGCCCTAACAAGCCTCGAAAATTAAAATAAATGAAAGCGGGATATTTTCCCTCTTTTTTTTTTTCTTCGTATACCATAAATAATCTCACTACAGCCTGGCCCGCTAGCCTGGCCCAAAAAGGGGCGGGTTTAGGCAAACAAAATACCTTTTTTTAGATAAAAACCCAAATCTGACCCTAAAAGCCCAAGAAGCTTATTGTCCTGACATGCTCGTCACTTTTAGCGGTTTTAAGGCTTTGAGCATGAAAATTAATGTTAAGGCCCGACTTAGTCGAATTTTTTATCACCTCTAAAATGATCTAAAGTCGTGTAGCTGTATTTTTTTTTTTAGGTTACATTGACATTGTGTAGGTGATGAATTTCGTGTCTAACATGTAAGAAATGCTATAGACAATGACATTTGTTGAACACATCTCAAAATGTCTCACTCCAAACAATTGGTGACAGAAGGAATATATTGTGAGTGCTACACAACCAATCAACCATGCAATAATTATACCTAATTCATTAGGCAATAATGGATTAATGGTACAACAAAGAAAAAGTTAAAAATTACACACAATTCATGTTTATTGTACAAAAAAGGGAAAAAAAATAATTAATTGTGCAAATTTCTTAGGTTTTAAATACATACAATTTATTTAAGGATTATCCAACAACAAACTTGTTCAAATGGTCTACTTTGTATTTGCAAATTAAAAACCCCAAATGAGATCTTAGGCAGAAAATGCCCGCATATTTTCACAATGACAATTGTAAAAATGCCAACACAAAATTACTGTACAGCTTAAACCATCATGTGCAGAATTTTCACCAAGTAATTAGACCTTTTCGCAATTAAGCTAAGTTCAGACCACTCCCATCTCCACTAAGCAAGGCCATTTTTCAGGAACCATAAGCTATAATCCCACTATATAATACAGCAACGAAAATCAAGCAAAAGTATTAAAAGCTATTTTAGCTCCGTGAGAATATCATCTGAATCATCACACTCCAGCATCAATCTCCCATGGTCTGTTGTATCTCACGTTCCTCTCACAATCATCAATTTTCGTCATCATCTCAATGGTCAGCTGGGGCAGCAGTGATATATGTACTACGGCGACTTCCTCCCACAATCACATCTTTCAGGCGTGATAAGATCCTTCCCGATTTCTGTCAAGATAATTTCACATATGTTAACCATGAGCCAAATACTTACATTCTTTCCATTACTATACAAGTGTATATTAAACTCATGCAACCAAGCAGTAGTTGTGGTCACTGGCAAAAAGTAATATTGCATTGTTATTTTTATCAGATATAAGTGCATTAAAAAAAACAAACAGCAGATAAGATCATAGGATTGAAACAAAGAGGCATAAGTTCAGGATCAAATAACAAGGACATGAGACTTGAGAGAGTAGTAATAAACAAATTACGTGTGCACACCAAGTGCAATGAAGATAGAAAATATTTTCCACCTTAGCAGTTAAAAGGTTTTCAAACTATAGATTACGGATGAAAGGTTGCGCCAAGGCCACCAACTAACCCTACATAACCCTCACGCTGCACCACACATGCTGTCTGTTTTCTTATCAAAAACCTCGCAGACCCATTACCCTCCCTCTCATGCTTCATAGAAACCCATAGGCAGTTTTTAAATCAGTTATTAGCACTCGAATTTTGCTCCCATAAATAAGACATGAGATTAGGAACTCTTCTTACTCTTTTAGTACCGCACTTAATTTACACCTATAGTTGGTTAATTTACTCCATTACAAGTTCCATTTCTATTTAAATTGCTAACTCCAACAACTAGACAACTTCCATGCAAAAAACCAGAATACGACTTACAAGTAAGACACAAGACCAAAGAATAATCTCTTGCCACCAAATGTCCTCACAGGGGGACAAAATCACTTGTTCTCTACAGGCTAGATTCTTTAATGTGGAATGTGGACCCATCACCTTAACAATTGCAGTTTGTATAATGAACTTCGTAAGTAGATTAGAGTAATTGGAGTACTGGAGCACCTGCAAACTTGTAATTTGACCCTTGGGGAGTGTAACAGAGAAAATTGGTACAAAAATAGGGCTGGAAAGGAATAATACTATCCCATGAATCTGCAAGCATAAATTCTAAATTCTAACGTTTCTTGGCAAGTTTACAATCTACAACTGCTGTTTTGTATCTGCATGATTTTAAACAGCTGATGGTCCCTAACCTATAAACTGTTTCACCTTTCAGTAGGGAAAGTTTTCCTTATATAACATGGGATAATTAATGAAATAAAAATATACGGTCAACCAGGTCTAGTAGCAATCTAGACTGATATTTAAGGACAGCTACAACAGTGTAGTTTCATTTCTACACATGAATAAAAAATTAAATAATCATCAGTCATATTTTAACTTAAAAGGAAAAAAAAAAAAACCAAACAAACAATACCTCATTGCCAACACTGAGCTGCCACCTTTGTTGCAAAACCTCCCACCTCTCTTGTTGCCACCGCTGCCCAAGAATGACAAGACCCATCACAGCAGCAGCAACGAAAACAGACCAAAATGCATTTGTATCTCTAACTTGAGCACGTAAAGAGGCCACGCTTCTTTTCCACCAAGCCCCACAAGGGAGCCCAGAATCATCGATTTCTCCAGATTCTTCTTCTCCGGACTTGGGTGGCCTCGACATAAAAGATGAAGGATCTAAGCCATGGTCAGATGGCTCATCAAAATCACTCTCAACTAAACTTTCGCCATAAGCTGCTGATCCACCAATCTCTGTTCCGCTGTGAAATGAGCTAAATGTAGCAGCCTCGTACACATTTTGTTCTTTGTCATCAACAGTCAGTCGATGTAGAGTTGTCGATTCATCTAATCCTGGACCATGAACCGATAGCAGCCTACTGTTTTTCTCTTCAAGAAATGGAATACCAAGAAACTCCTCAGGAACATTCAATCCTTCTATACTCCAGTTTTCATCTTCCTTCTGCTCAGCTTTACCCTCTTTAGCCACATTCAGGTCACCAGCATCATCCTCTTTAACTCCTTTGGAATTTTTAAGGTTTTCAGATTCTATGGGCAAATTTTCATGCTGACTTGGTGGAAAAACAAAGTGACCAGACATAAAAAGAGCTCTAGAAGTTTCTGCTTCATAATCTTCACCTAATGTAGGATCCTTCTCCTCGTGAATTGATTCATCCCCTCTTGGCCCAGGAGCAGCAGCGTAAGCAGAAGCTGTTAGTGACACAACTTCCCATTCATTTCCACGTGGCATGGCTTCCTCTCCCTCTTCACTTTCAGCAGCCTTATAAACATTCTGTTCATCTCCTCGAGAGGTGGTCTCCTCTCCATCCTCATTATTAACCATCTTATTTATCAAACTATCAGATCATTCAAGAATCAGCCCAGCCAAAAGAAAAAAGAACAACAGTAAAATTATGTTAAATAATTGAAAATACCACTTTATAATTTCACCATATACAATACAATTGCACACATCATTAAGCCCCAAGGCCAAAAACAAATCCAAAACCTTCAACCAGTGAGTTAACTATATTCTGGGATAAACAAACCACAGCTCCAACTGATGAACAAGATCACTACTACATGGCTTCAAACGAAACTGAAAGTGTCACATTGTACAACATTTCTCCTTCACCAAGCAACAATCATTATCACACGGCCAAAAGATAATTATAAATTTACAATCATGTAAAAAGAATCAAAGTTGCAACATCAAGTAATGCTCAAATATTCATCAATAATTCGGATGCACTCAATTACCAAATTTATATACATTCAAATATAAACCTTCTAGAATATCAACCATCAAATTTGTTCATGAAAGCTATCAAACAAAGCTAATATAAATCAGCAAAATTGAATCAAAAAGCTGCATATCAAACGAAAGCGACAACAGCAATTCGAATTTCAAGCTCACAAAATCGAACATCAACATCCATGCTTTCAACAAATCACAAATTCACTAAAACATAGTTCATATCAATCAATTCAGTCAGATAATCACAAATTCAATAAACATCCTAAAATCAACAAAACTAGGCAATAGAAAAATCAAATAAATCCGAAAAAACGAAACCCTAATAAACGAAAACCAAATCAAAACAACAAATTGATGCCAAAAATAGAAATAATTGAATCAAACAACAATAGAGGGAGTAAAATATGTAATAATCCGATGATTGAAGAAATTAGAGAGGAGAGAGAAACATACATAGAAGTCGAAGGTGATCGCCGGAGAAAAGGGGAAGATGAGTAGGAGATAGAAACTGACTTTGGGAAATGCGAAAATTATAAATGAGTAAAATAAATTAAGAAATAAACAATAATATAATAATAATAAATACAGTAATAAGGATGAGATGAGATAAAGAAAAACCGGTAGAACCGGTGACAGGTTGGGTTGGAGTTTTTGTGTACCGGCTTTCGTCGGTGAGTGTTTGCCACGTAACTACGTAATGAGAGAGGTGACCTAGTATTGGGAGTCCAGGATTATACAATGGTGTTTGCGTGCAAAGAGAGATAACACTGTACGATACTCCATAACAAAAACTTCACTCGAAAAGTCGAAATCCTACTTCCGATCCGATCCGTAACTCTCTTACATAATACTAGTAGTTTCGGGCTTATTTGGTATCATTTTTTTTAAAAAAAAACAAAAAACTATGGCAATGCCAAACAAACCCATACTACTTTAGATTATTATTTGTGAGACATTAAAAAAAATAAAAAAAATTGTAAAGTAATAAAGGTAGTACTCCATAGTATTTTACCAATTCTCTATCTTTCATGCTCCTATTGTATTTTTATTAAAATAGTATATTTACCTACTTGTCTCATTTACACAATACTTCCTATAATATTAGGACAAATAAACTTTTCTAAAACTCTCAATGTAAATATAAGACTCCACATGACATCATCATTTTGGGTCTTAAGACAAGACTATTTGTTTGATCCCATTTTTCTTGAGAAATCTTAGCTAAGAGTAAAAAAATAAAATAAAATATAATAATATATGGTATGAGAAGTCATAAGTCAATTTAGGGCTAAAGTGCTAAATATGAGTGAGTATTAAAAGAGTTTTAGCTAATATAATGACATCATTTTTAATAGGACCTATCAAAAAGTGATGTCATTTTAAGTCTTAAGCTTTTAGGGCTAATGTTGCTCTTAAATAAACAGAGAGAGTGGTAAGAATTTTGAAAGTTGACCACAAAAGTCAAAACGTAACAAAATAATAATAATAATAATAATAATAATAATAATAATAATAAATAGAGGAGTAACTACTACCTTATTGATAATTTATTCGCGTCGAATTGACATGTACTGATATCATAAACTAGAATAACACTTCCTTTATTCTTCTTTGTCAACGTGCATACATATTAATTGAAATTATTAAAATATATTGAGACAATTTTAAACAAGATCTAGAAATTCTTTATGATTATGTTTTATCATAATTGTAAATCATAAAAGATAAACAAAGTAGAAGTTATGAAAAGTATCAAAACTTTAAAATTAGAATTGAACTAATAAGGCATAGAGATTACAGTTAACAAGCTTAACATAAGTACATTATATCTAGCCAATGCATTAACATGGGGAATGGACAACTTTTAAGAAAATGAGAGAGATATATGGTGGTAAAATAAAAAATTTAGAAGTTTGAGTACTGAAAAAAATAAAAAAATAAAAAACAAAACAAATTTAAGTGGGATGAGATAGAAATAAAATATAATAATAAAATCTCGAGTGTTTCCAAAAAAACAAAAAAAATTATCCCGTATTACGCATGACAATAAGAATGATAGCAACCTATTTACATATGAAGTATAAACTAATATTGCACCTAATTTTCAAAAAGAAAAACTTTGTGATTAAATAAGAATGAAGATGGTACACATGTTAATTAAAGTCAACAACTTAGTGCAGGTTTCAGTGGTGGTGCAATAAACCTAGGATTATTTAGACGAAGCCTATGCTCATTCAATCCCATTTCATAATAACCAGTGGTATTGACTGCTCCTTCACCCAAGGAAATGATTGTTTGAACATATTGGTCGTGGTCGTAGGCATGGAAGTATATGCAATCCTTTTGCAATTTGGATAATTTGGTCGCTAAAACGCAATAGGAAGCACTTCCCTTCCCGGCCAAGAACAGAGCATGATCTCCAATTGAATGTATCTGGCTCACACTCGTACCCTTATTGGCTAACCTGTACAACTCCTCTCTTATCCGGTTCCAATTTCGTACCTTGCTGCCAATACCATTAGAAAAAAGCTAAACATATAAGTTACAATAATAATCATCGAATAATATCACACACATAAATAGATTTAATTTAAACAATCAATACTACTTGTATGATCGTTCTCATTAAATTAAATAATTAATGGGAAATTCATACCCTCGTCTTCTTCTCCTCAAGCTTCATTGAACTTGGGCGATCTAGTGAGCTAATCAACTTATGGAGTATATTTTGATACAAATGATTTTATTTTATTTTATTATTTTTTTTTTTTGTTGGATTTGTCATTTGTGCCTGTATATACACACACTATTTTTTAATAAATAAATAAATTGAGTGTAAATTTAATATTGTTTTTTTTTAGGAAAAAAGTGAGTGTAAATTTTATTTGATGTCCATTCACCCAAATTCCGGATATCATGAAAGAAAAGAAAAAAAAAACAAAAAAAATTATCACAAACCCTAGTGTACCACCTACACGAATTAGTAAATGTGAGGGGATGTGAATGAGTGTAAATTGTAAATGTTGGTCCCTTCATCCCAATAATCTATTTTTCATCCTTATCATCACACTCTCTTAGCCTCTCTGTAAAGGCATAGGCGGTACAAAATTAACCTTTCTTTTTCAATTTTTATGATTTTATTTATCACCCATCAAACTTTAAAAATTTAAGATAGATACACAGACTAGTCTCAACTTAAATCCGACCCGTCCCACCTAGTTGACATTCCTCATTTGCGGAAATCTATTGTCTAGCTTGTTATAGTGATTAGTGAGTGAGTGGCGGGTAATGGAGGACTTGAGTTGTTGCATACTCCGTAATATTCATTCTTATTAGCAAGACATTAGAAGAGAGAGAAAATCAGTAAACACTGAAAATGGGGGATTTATACGCCCTTGATTTCGATGGTATTTTGTGCGATAGTTGTGGCGAGAGCTCACTCTCTGCTCTCAAGGTGTTTATCTCTCCCTTCATCTTCTTCTCAATTCAAAATTTGATCAAATTCATGTATTTTTCAGAAATTTAATTCGATTAATTCCTAATTTTGTTGTTGTTGTTGTTGTTGCTGCTGCTGCTCAATCAGGCCGCCAAAGTCCGATGGCCAACTCTATTCAACGGCGTTGACTCCGCCATTGAAGACTGGATTGTTGACCAAATGCATATTGTAATAACTTTCTCTTTTAAATTGTTACTTTTAATTGCTTTTAGGTTTTTGTTAGTTGAATTATATGATACAATTTGATTCTTGTGAAAAAACTTTGAACGATTAAAAAAAACCTAGGTTGATTGATTGCAATGCAACATTTAAAAAAAAATAAAATATGACCTCATGTCCTCAAAAGGAATTGTAATTTTAGGTTTCTGAATGTGAGTACAATTTTATTTTGGGATATAGCTTACAAGGAAGGAGATAATTAGTTGGAGTTTCGAGTTTGGAATTTGATCCATTGGTGCTCGAATTTCGTATACCTATGGAATTGGGCTCAGGAACTGCTAATTAGTCTACCTGGTTATACTTCTATTGTTAGGTTTTGATACTACATTAGATGAAGAGCAAACCTTAATACACTATGCAAGACATTATTAGCTGCCGCCCTGAATTGTCTTGTAAGAATTTATACGAGTTACCGTGAGGCCGTCTCATGTGAGATTTTGCCTTAAATCCTATGAATTCATCTAATTATGTTATGATAAACTCTATATTCAGGTTCACTTTTCTATGCAACTCCATATCCATTTTCCCGGAGACTTATATAATTCAGTATAATGCTGAATTGATGATTCACATTGTGAAAATGTTTAGTGAGTAATACTTCAAAATCTAATACCAATTTCTCCTTTTCATTTCTTTTCTTTTTAGCCTGTAATTCTCTTGTGTTTTGAAGCCTTGTATATTGTTGTCAGTTTGATGCCATTGCCTGTGGCATATGAACAGAGAAGCAGCTAGAGTGCGACTGTATACTAGGTTGTCAGAAAGAACCAATTTTGCATATTCATTCATATCACCAATTTTTTTTTGGTTGAATTAGATTAGGACTTCTTTATGCTATTTCGATTTGGTATTTGCTGATCAAGTGGAAATTACAGCATAAAGTTTGATACCATTGCTGCAGGTACGACCTGTGGTTGAAACAGGATATGAAAATTTGTTGCTTGTGAGGTTGCTGTTAGAGATCAGAATTCCTTCCATCCGTAAATCTCCAGTGAGTATTGGGGATATTCATTATTCCAGCAATAGTTTCAGTTTATCACTATCATTAGTTTAATCTAACATGATTCTATCGTCCCTCATTGACAAGGTTGCAGAGGGGCTCACTATTGAAGGCATACTCGAGAACTGGCCTAAGCTGAAGCCAGTTATTATGGAAGCATGGGATGAGAAGGAAAACAGAGAGGCCTTAATAGAACTTTTTGGGAAAGTAAGAGATGAATGGATTGAGAAAGATTTGGCTACATGGATTGGTGCAAATAGGTAACTTCTGTTTCCATCATGATCAGTATGCATATATGTGATGCACTTAAAAGTATACTAATAAATCCTCATATAATGGAAGATGGACTGAAGTGGATGGTAATAAAGAGGGTTGTAGTCTTGCAAAGATCTTTCTTCACTTTTATATATCTCCATTATCTCTACTGAACGTTAATCTACTTATTTTAGTTTTACTAGTGCTTCATCATTTTGACCTTTTGTTGGTAGAAATATTTTTGCCCGCAGTCAATAGGGTATGCATTTGAATAAAATGATGTTTGAAGCACAATGCATATATCCTATCAACAGGTTAAATACTATATACACTTGAAGGAAATAAACTGGGAAGATTTTAAGTTATTGATTTATTTATTTATTAAGGGATAAATCGGGAAGCAAGACAAGGCTTAGTGGTGACAAAAATTGAATTTTGTAAGAATTTTCTCACATCATAATCTTTTGCTGCTACTGAACCCACTCGTGGATGCTCACTTGCTTGAGGCAAGCTGGGAATTTTCATCTAGACCACTCTGAGGATGTTATGCGAATGCTTGATACAGAGTAATATTATCTGGAATCTTGCTTGCAATCCTTAAATTTTCTGAATTTGTATGATATCTGCAGACTGTATCCTGGGGTTTCTGATGCTCTAAGATTTACAAGCTCAAAAGTATACATAGTTACCACAAAACAGGTATTTCCTATCCTTGTCAATGTATAAACATAAAAGAAAAGGTTGAAGTAGCAAGTTATTGAAAGAGAATGATGGAACATAAGAATGAAATATTGCGAAATTCTAGTATAACTTCTGTCATTTCTCATTGAAGATTATGACTCTTTTCCTTTTAACTATTCAAGTTCTTTCTCTCATGACTTTCTTACTTGTCTATGTGCTTTTTTTTGTCCCTAATCAGAGCCGATTTGCAGATGCTCTGCTGCGAGAGCTTGCTGGTGTAACTATACCTCCCGAAAGAATCTATGGACTTGGGACTGGGTAAGTATATTTTGTCTGGAACTATGTCTATGCCGAACTTGCTGATGAAGTTTTCTAAATATACATGGTCCCATAGGATTTTTGATACATCATCTCATTTTTCACTTAACTCAGCCCAAAGGTGGAAGTGCTCAAGATGCTTCAGAAACAATCAGAACATCAGGGACTCGCTCTTCAGTAAGATCTTTATCCTTTGCTCTTTAGTTAGCTTAATTAATCAGTAGATGTGCTTGGTAAACACTATGGAGTATAATGTTTCCAATTCAACATTCTGTTAATGAATTGTTGATTTGTCGTTATTACGACTCTACAATCAGCATCTGTGGGCATATTTGGTCTGACATTATATCCAAATGACATACAGCTTTGTAGAGGACCGACTTGCTACACTAAAAAATGTCATAAAGGAGCCAGAGTTGGACGGCTGGAACTTGTATCTAGGTAAAGCAGTCATGTTCATCTGTTCATGTATTTCTTTTCTTCCTTTGCTTGAACAAGTCCATATCTAATTACTGCTTTATCATAATCATATAATCAGGTGACTGGGGCTATAACACCCAAAGAGAAAGGGAAGAGGCAAGGAGTATCCCCAGAATTCACATGCTTGAGCTGTCCGAATTCAGTAAGAAGCTAAAATAGATTCACAATTTGTTTTAATGTAGTTATCTATGTCTTGCTTACTGCAATTATTGCACAGCATTTCTACTTAAACGTACTACACTGCAATTCATCAAATATCTTCTTTTGTTGTATATCCAAATCACAGAGCCGGCTGTGATAATTCACACTGTAATTACTGAGTATTTCTGAAGTTCTTCTGACACTTTCTTTGTTCCTGAACTCATCAGAAAGAAACCAAGGTTTTGCATTTGACAAGATCTTTTTTTTTTTTTCCTTATTTTGACGGGAAGCAAAGAACCATATTATTAAGTATTAAGAGCTAAACAATCAGCTATTACAAACTCATGTATCTCATGAGGATACTCTTTGAGCCAAACCCGAAACCCCTCATAAAACTTGCTAACATGAGCTATGCATAAGAAATCATTAAAATTTATGCATGACATGCCCATCAATATTCAATCTCAGTAGTTAAGTGGTAAATTACAAGCTAGGAGTTCATTTTCAGCTTCTAAGAATCTTTGTTAGGAGCCGAGCCAAGAAGTTATGCCAGACAGTAGTAGTGTGTAGTTAAGCTTTGGAGCTATTGCTCAATAGCTCATCCTTCTCTTATCCCTCTGGAGTTTTGTCTGTCTCTCCTTGTAGCACATCAATATTCTACTCCAGTGGATGATCTCCAGGTCGGTGGTAAACGTTGTCTCATATCTTGACTTCGTATGCATCTGGCTGCTCTAATATGAGCTCCTGCAGCTGGAAAAAGCAAGGTAGAGTCATGATAACCTTTCAATAAACAAGATCTGAGGTCGTCATTCATTACCATGTCTAAGCTTCGAGTGATGAAACGAGAGAGCTTTGCTTTTCACGTAATTAGTATCAAACTACAGATGTACTTTGTACCGAACTACAGTGCTTACTGAGGGACAATCTAACTCAAAAACTACAACTAAAAGCAAACCAGCAGGTTGTAATTAACCATCGTGTGGTGATAGACCTTGTTACAATGTATTCAAATAAATTCAAAAGGAAAATAATATTGATGTATTCCTCTATATACTATAGTAGGCCACATTAAATTCGACATCATTTTTTAATTTTTTTCATAACGTTTTATGAATGTTACATACCGAGTACTGTCTAATGGAAAATTTGAAAATTTTATTTAGAAAAAAAAGAAGGTTGATCTTAAGGCTGTCCCGAATTCTCAACATGAGAAACAAAAGATTATATTAAATGTAAAATTGCTATTTTATCATTTTATTGTTTTTACACGTTAAGATACGAGGGGATCCCTCCTCCAATCACAGGAGGGAGGGATAGGAGTTGAACTCAAGTCACACCTGGGGAGATAACCATCCCTCCGCTCTTCACTCCTATACTACTTTGTCATTTAAACAATGAAAAAAATTGCATTTATTTACGACCTGGTGATATTGAGAAACTTGGAATTTCTAGTTGATTTTGGCCCAACTAACGTTTAAGTTGTATTAGTAGTTAAATTAGGACAAGTACGGGGCAAGCACTAAAACGGGCCCCACTAACATCTCCCGCCGAAACCGTTTGTGGAAATCTTTTGTGTACCTTATAATAGTGATCACTGATTAGTGAGTGAGTGGCGGGTAATGTAGCAGCTGAGTTGCTGCATAATATTCATTCAAATATTAGCAACATATTACAAGACTCAAGAGAGAGAAAACTAAAAATAATGGGGGATTTATACGCTCTTGATTTTGATGGTGTTTTGTGCGATACTTGTACCGAGACTGCCATCTCTGCTCTTAAGGTGCCTTTTTCTCTTTCTTCATCTTCTTCTCAATCCTATATTCGATTATTTAATTCGATTTTATTCCTAATTTTATTGTGATTGTTGCTTAATCAGGCCTCCAAAGTTCGATGGCCAACTCTATTCGACGGCGTTGACTCCGCCTTGGAAGACTGGATTGTTGACCAAATGATTATTGTAACTCTCTCTTTTTATTTTTCAAGATTATTATTATTTGTTTGTGTAAAAATTTATACTTCGTAAACTTTTAAAAAAGAAAGAGTTATGTGTTATTCAATTTGTTTCATGTGTTAAAATATTAAATGATTGCAAATAAAACTTTTTTTTTTTTTTTTGAAAGAGATTGCAAATAAAACTTGATTGATTGCAATGTAATTTTATTTTATGTTTTAATTTTAATTTTAGTTTTTTTTATGGTCTTGAAAATGAATTATAAATTTTGTTTTGTGTATGTGAAGATAGCTTTATTTGGTAATATAGCTTATACGGAAGGAGATGATCTAGGTGGAGTTTCGAGTTTGACCCATTAGCTCTTAAGAAGGTTTGAGGAATATCCATGTGGAATCGAGTTTCGGAACTACTAATTAGTAATTAGCATACTGTTTGTACTAACATTGTTAAGTTTAGCTTTGCAATCTGATGAAGAGCAAATCGTTATATTATGCAAGACACTATGAGTTGCCACCCTAATTCGTCTTGTAAAAAATTACTAAGTTATTGTGAGGCAATCTCATGTGAGATATTGCCTTAAAGGAGTCATGAAATTCAATGCATTCATCTGAGTTGTATTAAGGTAATCTCTATCTTCGGTTTGCTTTTGTGTGTGAGTTGGCTGTCAACATCAATTTGCTATTTGCTGATCAAGCGGAAATTGCAGCATGAATTTTGATGATATTGTGTAATGAACTAGACATAGGAGGGTTACAATAATTAGGAGTGTACAATGAATCAGCTAAGTGCTGAAGGCAGAGAGTAAGTTAAAAAGGAATGTGAAAATCAGGAAGTCTATATAAATAGAGGGGAAGAAGAGAGGGGATCACAAGAAGAATTCAGAAGTTTATCATAGCTTTATTTAGCTTTGTTAGAGGATCAAGTCTCTTGAATACTTGACATTTATTGTAATAAATGTGTCAATCAAATTCACAATTTTCATCTCTTCATCATTTTCCTTAACATGCTGATTTGTAAAATATTGTTGCAGGTGCGACCTGTGGTTGAAACAGGATATGAAACTTTGTTGCTTGTGAGGTTGCTGTTGGAGATCAAAATTCCTTCCCTTCGGAAATCTTCAGTGAGTACCAAGGATGTCTATTGTTCCAGCAATATTTTCACTATCAATTATATAACCTAATAAGATTCTATTGTCCTGCATTGACAAGGTTGCAGAGGGGCTCACCATTGAAGGCATACTCGAGAACTGGCCAAAGCTAAAACCAGTTGTTATGGAAGCATGGGATGAGAAGGATAACAGAGAGGCCTTAATTGATCTTTTTGGGAAAGTTAGAGATGAATGGATGGAGAAGGATCTGGCTACCTGGATAGGTGCTAATAGGTAACTCTTTTTTCCACCATGACCAGTATGCATATACGTTATGTACTTGCTAAAATCACTAATAAATACTCACGCAATGGAAGAGGTTTCAACAATTCAATCCCTCTAGCATTTAATCCCGAGCCCCACTCGAGGTAAAAAGGGCTGTTTTGCATAGGATCTGCAGATGGACTGAAATTGATGGTAAAAAAGAGACATGCAATCTTGTAAAGATCTTTCTTCTTTTCTAGTATATCTCCATCGTTGTCTGCTTACCATTCATCTATTTAACTTTACACAAGTGCTTCATCTTTTTGACCTTTTGTAAGTAGAATTATTGTTTTACCTACATTCAAAAGGGTATGCAGATTTGAATTAAATGATTTCTGAAGCACAATGCATATATTTTCTCAACAGATTCAGCACTATATACACTTAAAGAGAGTAAATGAAGAAGCTTAGGCAAGGTTTAGTGATAACAAAAGTTGAATCTTTGTAAGGATATTCTCACATCATAATCTTTTGTTGCTACTGAACCCACATGTGGAAACTCACTTGCTTGAGGCAAGCTGGGATTTTATAGACCACTCTGAGGATGTTATGCGACTGATTGATACAGAGTAATATTAATTGAATCTTAGGGATCTCGTGTGCAATCCTTAAAATTTGTTGAATTTGTATGCTATCTGCAGACTGTATCCTGGTGTTTCCGATGCTCTAAGATTTGCAAGCTCGAAGATATACATAGTTACCACAAAACAGGTACTTCATATCCCTGTCTATAAATAAACATAAAAGAAAAGGTTGAAGTTGCAATTTATTGAAAGAGAATGATGGAACACAGAAGAAAATATTGTGAAATTCTAGTATAACTTCTGTTTTACATTTCCCACTGAAGATTGTGTCTTTCTGCCTTTAAACTAATCAAGTTCTTTCTATGTGCTTTATGTCCCTAATCAGAGCCGATTTGCAGTTGCTCTGCTGCAAGAGCTTGCTGGTGTGACTATACCTCCCGAAAGGATATATGGACTTGGGACTGGGTAAGTATGTCTTGTCTGGAACTATGTCAATGCAGAACTTGCTGATGAAATTTTCTAGATATGACCCCGTAGGATTTCTAATACATCATTCTCATATATTACTTAACTCAGCCCGAAGGTGGAAGTGCTCAAGATGCTTCAAAAGCAACCAGAACATCAGGGACTTGCTCTTCAGTAAGATCTTTATCCTTTGCTCTTTAGTTGGCTTAATTAGTCATATATGTGCTTGGTAAACACTATAATGATTCCAGGTCAACATTCTGTTAATGAATTGTGGTTTTTACGACCCTACAATCGGCATCTATGGGCAAATTTGGTCTAAAATTATATCCTAATGATATACAGCTTTGTAGAGGACCGACTTGCTACACTAAAAAATGTCATAAAAGAGCCAGAGTTGGATGGCTGGAAATTGTACCTAGGTAAAGCAGTCATGTTCATCTGCTCATGTGTTTCTTGTCTTCCTTTGCTTGAACAAAATCACATCTAATTATTGCTCTATATGTGTATCATAAACATATAATCAGTTGACTGGGGCTATAACACCCAAAAAGAAAGGGAAGAAGCAAGGAGTATCCCCAGAATTCATATGCTTGAGCTGTCCGAATTCAGTATGAAGCTAAAATAGAATCACAATTTGTTTTAATGTAATTATCCATTGTCCTGCTCACTGCAATTATTGCACAACATTACATTTCAATTCATTAAATACCTTCTTTTGTTGTAATTCTTAATATGTTACACACTGTAACTACTGAGTATATCTGGAGTTCTGAATTTCTGATGACACTTTCTTTGTTCTTTCACTCTTCAGAAAAAAAAAAAAAAAAAAAAAAAATGACCCTGGTTTTAAGCTTGACAAAAAAAACTATTCATAATAGATAGTTAAAATAGTCATCTATGCATTACAAGCCCAAAAATTCAATCACAGTAGTGAAGTGAAAAATTACAAGCTAGGAGCTCATTTTCTACTGCTAGGTGTAAAGGATTCTTTGTTAGGAGCGAAGCCAAGCTGAGGACTGGGAGACACGCCAGACAGTACTATTGTGTAGTAAAACTTTGCAGCTATAGCTCATCCTTCTCATGCCCCTCGAAACTGTTGCCTGTCTCTCCCCGTAGCATCTCAATAACCTCTTCCAGTGGAGGATCTCCAGGTCTGCGGTAAACAACGTCTCCAATCTTGACTTCATATGCATCTGGCTGCTCCAATATGAATTCCTTCAGCTGGAAAGAACAAGGTAGAGTCATGACAACCTTCTACTCAACAATATCTAAGGTTGACATCCATAACCATGTCTAAGATATGAACAATGCAACAATAAACCTTTGCAGTCACGTATTTAGTACCCAAACTACAGGCTCTCTTTTATAATTTTGGCTGATCTTCCCTACAGTGCTTACTGCTTAGCAGTTAGCACTTAGAAACAATCTATTCAATAATTTAACTAAGGGCACCTTTACAATGTATTCAAATAAATCCAAAAGGAGAACAGGAGTCGAGTTTTGGTTCAAACATTTAATTGGAGATCATTCTTAAGAAATTGAGTTATACCTTAAATTACTCGTACAAATCGTACTTCATAATAACATTTCAATTATATATTTCACCATTCAAACTTTACATATCCGCCACACCAACATAGTTTCTTTTAACAATCTTCATGAATGGTATCAAAAGTCAAAAATACTCCGTATAAAAATTTTCAAAAATTAGTTTACGGACACATACCTCATCCTTGTCTTGGCCTGCCTCCATGGTAAACATGACAGTGCTAAGATCCACCCCCATAAACTTCACCTCCAAACCTCCCGTTTTCGAAACTTTGCTCCATTTCATGGCTATCTCTGAAACCTCATCCTGACAATTCCCATAGCAAAAAATCAATAGATCAGTACAAATTCTATACTCATTGATAGGATTACCTGTTAAATCCACAGTTCACCAAAAATGCAAATCTACGAGAAACTATTTCTTTGGAGGGAGCCCCACTTCCTCGTTATGAGAAACACTTTTATTTCCCACAATGACATTTTGGAAATAATGAGATGTTTTTCACTAGTGGGGAACGCGTATGTGTCATGAGTGGGAACCCCAGATCTTGACACATACCCCATGAGTAACAAAACTTGTTTCTCACGATGAGAAACAGAGAATTACATATTTCTTTGTATATTGTTATAATTGAATCAAAGGACTCATAGCAATCCAGTAGTAATTCAATAATCATACATAATATTTTAATGGGAAATAAGTCTAGAAATTATTATACCGGGGTTCGAAGAACGCCTAATCTGAGCTTGATAAATCCGAAAAGGGGACCGGTGTGATGCTTGATCATCTCAGCTTGGATCTGGGAAGGGTCCATATTATCCAAATCAGAAGGATTTAAGTCAAATTGGGGTGATGGGGTGGGTGTTTTTTTGCCCCAGTTTTTCCAGTCATCGTCCTCTTCATCATCGATTACATCGCCGAGGTCGTCGGGGATGTGGATTTTGCCGGCATTGGCCAATCTGGGGAAAAGGGTGGTGGTGTGATGAGTGAGGAGTATAGTGAGGAAGAGGAAAGTAGAAAGAGAGAGTGTGATTTGGTAAGTCATGGTTATTTTACAAGTGAAGAAGAATGTTAAATTTTGGGTGTATTTATAGGTTTTGACTTTCTAATTGATTTCTGTGAAAATATAACTGTAGTAATAGAGTACTGTAACTTATAGGTATAATATAGGGGTTATGTCAATCAGGTCTATAGTTATACTTTGTTTCTGATTGATTTCTGAATTCTGATTGATTGTTTACATTAATTTGCTGCTATCTGTAAATTGTACGAGTACTGTATGTATATCAGGCAATCTGTGTTCAGGTTGAAGATTGCAGGATGATTGCTGTGGCACGGGTGTGCCGTGTGCAGTGCCAATCAGCTATAATAAGCAAATGCATAAACAAATTGGGTCTGATTTGAAGCAGTATGATATGATGTGGTGATCATTTTTTTTATTTTAAGCAAATATTTTCCTACCTTACGAAAAGTGAGTACAAGATTACTCTTTTGAATAGTGTGATGCTAATTACGTCCTTCTAAATGTGTATTTATACATATACCCTCATTAATATGTATAAGTTTATTTAATGAATAATGTTTGGACAATTATACCATCTTAAATGTATCCCTACCTTTTTAAAAATTTAACCAAATACTTATGAATTGTGTTATGTCAATTATATCCCTAAAAATATTTATTTACATATATACCCTCATTTATGCATGTGAGTCACATGTGTAGCATTTTGTTTCTTTGTAATTAATGTTATCAAACTATAACATAAAACCAAACTGATAGAGATTCCCGGACATGACTAGCTATGTGCGTGCGTTAGCTACCCTATTATGTTAAGATAAGTTGTAATGAATATACCTTAAACTAATCACTACAGTATAATTTAGGTGACAATAAATTAGACTGTGAAGACTAAACACTACTCATGCCTAATCAATTTGTCATTCCCAATATGCCCTGCCCTAACCTTTGTAAGAAGATTCCACCCCTTAGAAATACTTTTCCAAATGGGTAGCTATTGCCAAGTTTCGTGGACATGATTTTCATGAGCTTGCATTATTTGAGTGGAAATTTTGCCAAGACTCTTCTTCATAACTAATTTTCCAATCAAGCAACATGTTCAAAGTTATAGTGGTTATGAATTTCAAGCTTCCCTTTTTTTCTTGGGAGAAAAGATGTGGATGTTGAAACTAAATGTAACTTATTCTTTCCCTCCTCTTATCCCAAAAGAAAGTCATTACAAAGTTGTCGTGCTTATTGAGAATTGTAATCGAAAGTAAGTTTGCTAAGGTATAATGATTTGGAATATTCAAAATTATGAAAATGCCTTCCTTATAATAGTCCCAACTCCCAAGCATATATAGTGCCGTTATATGTACTCGGTTGATTTTATTTCAACAAACTAATTCACCATTTTCTTGTATATATATGATCAATCTTTGAATAGGGCAATAAACTTAAATCAGGTGAAAGAATAGTGCTTTGTTGATTTTATCTCAACAAACTAATTAACAATAATGTCAATATTGTTAAATATGGCCGATCTTATAATAAACCCCAATTAGACTAAAATTAAGTTACGAGTACATATAATTCATCACCCGAATTTGACTTTAACAAAGTCACCCAAAAATCTGTTTGTCCCCTCCACTCCAAACTATGTTTTTAGTGAACTAAGGCTAGTTCCATTATACCTAGCACTCAATCATTCATCATTTTAAGGTACATCATCATCACTCACCAAAAGCAGCCAAGATTAAGTGCAAAGTATCTAATCAACACAATCAATTTATTATCAATTTACGTGACGAAATTCATGACCTACAAACAGTCAAGAGTTCAAGACCATACCCTGCACTGGCCTACCCCTCCACAAATTCACAATCCACATTCTCTGCATAAATAGTGACACTATAATAAACTAACCAATCCCTCTTTTTCGTAAAATGTACTGTACTATTTAGCATAATAATTTTGAACCACATTTAAAGTTCTCTCTTTTTCCCTGTCAAAAAAAAAAAAAAAAAAAAAGTTCTCTCCTTTTCACCAACTAACCATATAAAAACAAATACTTAACCTGCACTAATGCTTGTAAAAACAATAGATTTCTTGCTATTGCTACTGGCCACTACTGCTCATTTTACTCATTCCTCTTTCTCTCTCTAAAATTTCTATCTTTCTAGCTGAAAAACTGAAGAAACTATGGCAACTGTTTTGATAAGAAGATCAAGATCAACCTCAAACTTTCTTAAAACAACAATCAGATGTTTTAGTAGCACTTCTTTTTCTTCTGTTGCACAACCTGTTGCTGATTCTGGTTCATCACCCTTTCCTTTTGCTGGGACTAACATCAAAGCCAATGTTTCCCAAGTGAGTACATTCACTAATTCTTATACAGTTATTCTCGCCTTGGCGGAACTTGATTTGATTTGATAATAATAATAGTAATATCGTCCAAAAGTATATATCTTTTGATAAAGTACATATGCTTATATACCAATCATGGTTTATGTTAGTTGTTAAATTTAATTTGCTGATGAATGTTTATAACATTACTTGATGAATTAGGGAGATTGTTTCTAAATTCTGAATTATTCTTGTTGATGGTTTAATTTAATTTAGATAGATAAATTTAGCAAAGAGAAAGACAAGGTAGCTTATAATCTTACATTATGAGGTGGAGATTGCTCATTAGTGTCCCAACTTATTTGGGTACTTTCTGTTTTTAGATAAGGGCAGCTCTCACTGAACTCCAGCAGCTACATTGAGCCTTATTGCCCTCTCTCCCCCGGGACGGGTGGGCCCGTCTAAGAATGAATTTGGATTTCAGTTAGAACTTTAGTAGGGACCAAATGTCTAGATCATTTGCAATTTTATCTTAGCTCAAGTGGTCTAGTGGTCTGAATTTTCTTTGATAATGATACCTTAGCCTAATGTTTAAAATTTAGGCCTTATTAATGGTTCATATGGCCAAGTATACCCTGTTTTATTTATTAAAAATGGCGGCGGTTGGGTGAGATATTTCCATTGTCAGTAGATTTTATGTACCCCATTTTGTGTCTCATCTTATGTCCAATTATCTTGATTTACATTATCTATGATTCACCAGTAACATTAGATTGTTGAATTAATGGCTTTGTCAAAATCAGAAAGAATCAAAGATGTGACACTATCACACACAGGATGACAGGACAATTGATTAAAGCTTGTTAGATTGGGTCCATAATGTTCCACTGATAGCTATGTGCTGAGATTGCTGACTGCTGATGTAAAAAAAAAATTCTTTTTAGATTCTGCAAGTTAATTACCATAGTAAAAGTCCTTTGCTAGAAATCCTCTTTATACCTTGATAGAAATGCATGAAACTACTGTAAAATGTTTTGAATTGATTTTTATTCAATGTGTTGCAGCTTATTGGGAGAACTCCCTTAGTTTATCTAAGTAAAATTAGTGAAGGATCTGGAGCTCACATAGCCGTCAAGCAGGAAATGATGCAGCCTACTGCTAGTGTCAAAGACAGGTATTTAACAAACCATTTATAGGCAGTAAAATGTGACACTATGTGCTAACTATATTATCTACTGTAGACCTGCACTGGCAATGTTAGAAGATGCAGAGAAAAAAGGATTAATTTCTCCAGGGAAGGTAATCCTAAAACAGTTAGTTACTGTCAAGCTAGTGTTACCGAGAAATATTTTTGTTAACTGTTATGCTGGGTCTATGATCAGACTGTGTTGATCGAGCCTACATCAGGAAACATGGGAATAAGCATGGCCTTCATGGCGGCGATGAAGGGATACAAAATGGTGTTGACAATGCCATCATACACTAGCATGGAGAGAAGGGTGACTATGAGGGCTTTTGGTGCTGAGCTTATTCTCACTGACCCTGACAAAGGAATGGGGGGAACTGTCAAAAAGGCTAACCAACTTCTGGACTCCACCCCAGATGGTTTCATGCTTCAACAATTTAATAATCCTGCTAATACTCAGGTCTGATCAGCTAATTAACTATATGTTACAATACTAATAGTTCCACCCTTGGAATGGAGTCTTTGTTTTGCTTGTATATATTGTCAGTGATAAGGGAAAATTAGCTGACTATGCCTGAAAAATCAGGTTCATTTTGAGACGACGGGTCCTGAAATATGGGAGGACACTCAAGGAAAAGTAGACATCTTTGTCATGGGAATCGGAAGTGGAGGCACTGTGTCTGGTGTTGGACGCTATCTCAAATCTCAAAATCCTAATGTTAAGGTATATACATGGTCTGTTCTAAGTAAGACTTCTTTGAATTGTGCATGTGCTGTTTACATGCAATGTGATTTAATTATTTACTGATGACGTTATAGATTTATGGAGTTGAACCAGCTGAAAGCAACATACTCAATGGAGGCAAACCAGGTTTTGCTCAACTCTGACAAGTTTCCAGCTTCTTTAGTCATGTTAGTTGAATAAATACTCATCTTGATTTTTATTTTCTGCCAATGTAAATAGGTCCTCACCTTATAACCGGAAATGGGGTTGGGTTTAAACCAGAGATTTTAGACATGGATGTAATGGAAGCAGTTCTTGAGGTAAAATTCGAGTGGTTTAACTTGAGTATTGTTAAAGATTACTATCTGTGCTCAGATTTTGTGCACTTTTTAACAGGTAAAAAGTGATGATGCTGTAAAGATGGCCAGGCAGTTGGCATTGAAAGAAGGACTTATGGTAAGAAGTTTAAGAACTAAGAACAGATTATTCTGGTTTCTGATACTAATTCTTATCATCTTTGCATCACAAATAAGTCTGCCGTATTTACAGTGTGCTATTTGGGAGATTACGAGTTCAAATCATTTAGTAGATTAATATTACTATCTTAGCTAATGTTCATGTATATATGTAGGTTGGAATATCATCAGGAGCTAACACAATTGCTGCCCTTGAACTTGCTAAGAGGCCGGAAAACAAGGGAAAACTAATTGTGGTATGAAAAGTTGTGCTCTTTATATAATCTAAGTATGAAGTTTTATTATGAAACTTTTATCTTCATCTAGATTTAGTTTGTAGTTGCATCACTAGTTCAAATTACACTTCTGTTGGGTTGTGAACTTGTGATTATCTGACTTAAAAAATTGTGTTTTCTTTCTTGATCATAGACCATCCACCCGAGTTTCGGAGAGCGATATCTGTCGTCTGCCCTGTTTAAGGAGCTGAGGGAAGAGGCTGAGAAAATGCAACCAGTCCCAGTTGAATGATTCAGGGATCTAGCTCTTTGCTAAGTAAAGGATCTATTAATGTTTTGTCATTACTACAAGTTGTAATACTTTAATATTGTTTAATGAGCATGTGTCAAAAAAAAAAAAATTGTACCATTGCAAGCCTATTGTGTATTTATGTTCAATAAAGCCATAAGGATAAAATTTCATCGATGAAGTAATGTCAGGCAATTGCATTGCTAAATACGTGGGTCAAATACCCAAAGGCGTATAGACTTGGTTCAATTTTTTTGATGAGAGTTTAAATTACTATAATAGGGTATTAAGTTTGCGTGATATAACTGAGTTTGTAATGGCTGATTTAAGCCACTTTATGTTTAATAAAATCTCTTTGCTTCCCTTTAAAAAAAGGAAAAAAAAAAAAAAGATTTGCGTGATGCTAAATAAGCAAGCCCAAAGTTTCTCTTTCATATGCCTTCAAAAAAAAAAAGTTTCTCTTTCATATCCTCCCTTCCACCTCATTTCTCTTTCCTTTATCTCGCTTCTACTAAATTAACTCTCTCTACCCTTCTCTATTATTTTTTTCTATTTTCTACACCGCTAGGCCAGACTTGCCCAACACTTTCTTCTTATTCAAGTGGCTTCTTCCAACTAGATCGCAATACAAGATATAATAGTAATAAATAAATAAATAAAAAGTAATGTCCGTAACTCATTTCATGGGATTTTTGGCATCTGTTGTGTGTTCTCTAGCTCCCCATTTAATTTACCATTTGGGTAACAAATGCCCAATGCCAATTAAATGTGATAGAGAGAGAAACCACATAGGCATATTGGTGGATGATCATTGTTGGATCCCTTACCTTCTAGGCTTCTATTTCTAAGCCCTTAGAAAAAAAAAAAAAAAAAAAAAAAAAAAGTTTCCACTATAAAACTTTCATGCAATAAAACGGAGTATGAAACACTTCACTTGTTCTATAAATATAGCCTTGCACTATTCATGTGCTCTTTCTATATCATTTATTATGATTTAGTAAGTAAAATATGGTTTTTGCAATGCTCTCCAAACTTAGACCGTATGCGAATATACCCATCTAATTTTCACTTTACTTATTCATTAGTCATATATCTATGTTACATATACACATATACGTACTATATAGTTCTAGGTACTAGGGATGGACATAGAGAGTTTATAATATTGGTGGACAAAGGCAAGTCGTGTGTGATTAATTGAGTTGATGTAAGAGGGAAAATTTTGATAGGTATGAAGATGTCGTTCTCTCATATTATTAACTAACTAGTTTCTTGGTCTGTGCAACGCGGCAACGCGCACACGCTTATTTATATTTTTTGGTGTTTAGAGAGCCACAATAGGCAGGGGTGAAAATCGATCCCAGAATCTCCTTGAACCGGGAGGGAAGCTTTAACTACTTAAGTTATCTTTTACTCTTACAAGCATGTTTATATAGTTATAAATATGATTTCTTTAATCTAATTAATGTTTTACCTTGTTGGTAAAATAATAGTTTAAAAGAGAAAAGTAGGGGTGACTGGTGAGCATTGAATATACTCGTTAATTACATAATTGTGTTATAAGGAAAATGAAATAATTAAAAAATATTAGACTCTTGTGTTAAAGGAATGAAGTATTTTTTTTTTGTAAATATTTATAATGTGACATAGGTGGTTAGTGTTTAATAAGTCATTTATTACATGATATCGGTTTTGATTTGTATCAAGATAATTTTCCACATATAAAAAGGGTGTAAATGTCATTATTCGTTTCAGATAAATGAACGACCTAAGTCCCTAAACATGATTGCATATCTGCCGATGGAATAAACGATTATCCTCCATATATTTCTCTGACGTTGTCTGTGTCATCTACTGACTTGACTTTTTCAGTCACCCAACAATTTTGTCATCATCTTTGCCTCTTATACGTTTGTAAGTTCCTTTATTTATTTTATTTTTTTTTACAAAAATCTATGATTATGTAATTTCAACTATTTTCTCATCTTTTTTTTTTTTCCTTTTTTGACGAAAGATAGATTAGCAAAAATAAAATTCATGCTTATTTTTATCCGTCATATTAGTTTTGTTTTTGAGGTATCTTGGCATATTAAATTATACTGGTTTTTATATATACATTTTAATTTATGCTTAAGATATGTGTGTTAGTAGAAAAAAAAAAAAAAAAAAAAAAGGCATATGAGCGAGGATGTTGATTTCACCATAAAGTGTAGCAATTGTTTAAGTTTGTAGTTTACATGATGTGACAGATTTTGGGGTTTTTTTTTTATTTATTTTTTTACATTGTAATTTTTACTTTGAAAGGTTACATGTTTAATTAATCACATGTATTGTGAGTTTATTATTGAAGATGAGTTACGGTCTTACCAATATAACTATAATTCAATTTAAATTTGCAGATATCCACTATATAGTCCATAATGTTTTGTAGTATATATATATATATATATATATATATATATATATATATATATATATATATATATATATATATATATATATATATATATATATATATATAATTCATAATATTTTTATAGATAGTGTTGTCATATGCATCCAATTGAAAATTAATGAGATGTCTAGAAAAAAAAAATCATATCAAATGTAGTAATATAAAAATCAACATTGATGACAAAATCACACAAGAATCAATGTTATTAATGTTTTACTTAATGAAATAGAGTAGTTAATTTTTTTTTTATTTTTTTCTAAAACAAAAAAACAGGTTAGTAAGACTTTGTTCTTTAAATTCGAAACAAGGTAGATTCATATGAAATTTATTTTAACTAGGTCTTGAACTTTTGGTGTGAGTTGTGTGACTGAACTTTTATACATTCCTAATCTTCTTGATTTGTAATTAACATACAAATATTTAATTATAAAAATGTAAAAATTAAAATTTGATATGATCTAAAATTTTCAAGTCTATTACAATTTGATTTTATGAAAATTATATAATAAGTTGCCAAAATAAGATAAAATATTAATTCGTACCCATATATCTACTAATATGAATATTAGAATATAAAAAACAAGTCTTGAAAGGTCCAAAGTTTATTGAACAAATAGCTTTACTTGGAGACACAAAACTCTAACCACCTTTTTTCCCTTTTCCTTTTTCTTTTATTTATCCCCTTAACCATAGTTAGAGAAAAAGAGAGAATAAAAAAAAAAAAAAAAAAAAAAAGGCAAAATCAAACAAAGAGTTAGGGTTTGACTGATAAAAACCCTGAAAATCGCGTGAAAAAAAACGTAAAATTCATCCAAAGAAGAGAGAGAAAGAGGCATCAAGAAAAAGAAAAAAAATTATAAAAAAGAAAAATTAGAAAAAGCACAAATCAGCAGATTCCGACGAGTTCGGACTGTTGAGCCAAAACCCACATCTTCTTCTTTCTTCCGATCTGTGAATTTGGACCCACAAATTTGCCGCCAAAATATACTTTTCTTTTTTTGATTTCTTACCTCATTGATTATTATCATCACACCTTCCAATTTTCCTATAATTGTTGAAATTTATATACTGAAAAAAGGGGAAAAAAAGTGAGTGAAAAAAGTGGGGTATTGGGTATTTTTATTTAAAGAAATTGACACTTGAATTTTCAGAAGTGGGGGCAAAATTTGAAATGAGGGTTTTCTCATTTTGTTGATTAGGATTTCTGGGAATTTTCCCAATTTTTGATTTTTCTTGTTTTTTTTTTGGGGGTTGTTTTAGGGGTTTAATTTTATGCAATCTGGCGGTGGGTCCCAGCACGCCGGTGCCGGCGGGCATGGTCGGAGTCCGGCGTCTGCCGCCGCATCGCCATCGTCATCGTCATCGGCGGCCTCGCAACAGCAGCAGCAGCAGCAGCAACAACAACAGCATTTTGATTCAATTCAGCAGCAACAACAGCAACAGCAAAGACAGGTTAGGGTTTAACGCTTAGCTTGTTATCTTGTAATTCTGGATTTTGGGTTGTTTCTAGATTGGTGGTGTTTTGATTTTTTTCACTCAATTTGTGAGATTAATGGGGTTGATTTGCCAATTTTCGACCTAATATTAGAATTGCCTTAAATGGGGTGTTTTCAATTTTGATTTTTGAGCTGATTTTTGGTTTCTGGGTTTGATAGTTTGAGTAATGTTGGTCAAATTTCAAATGGGTTATGCTCAATTTTGTGATTTATGGTGTTATAATATTAGAGATTTCTAAAATGGGTTATGCTTAATTTTGGTTTTTTAAGAGATGTTTCTTGCTTGACTTTGAAGAATATCACTTGAATTTAACTCAATTTCGTGATTAGTGATGTTGATTTGGTGTATTTTGAATGTTAAGCTGGTTGTTTGTTGTGGGCTGACGTTTTATAACATGTGGTGTAGAAGTGGATATTATAATTATTAATTTTGTAGTTTGTGGATTGACCTGAAAATGTCAATTTTAATGCAGTACGAGGTTTTAAGTGAAATAAACAAAGGTTGGCCAGGTGCTTTCCTACGTTGCTTTATACTTTTCCTTGCCTGGCCACTCTTCTTTAGTCAATTGTGGGTATCTTACTTTACTAAGAATTAGAAGTGGCAGTTGGGTGAGAGTTATTACTTCGAAGTTCGAGCTACTTAAGTACTGGTACTGGTAGTTTGAAGTTGTCTTTTTCTGACTGCAGATTCTCTTAGGTGTTTATTCTTTTTTTTTTTTTTTTCTATCTGTAGCTGAAAATTTATTTGTTTTGTTACTGTTTTATGAGCAAGATTTAATTGGTGAGTGTTGCTAATTGTTTGCTCAAGCTTCATGGTTATTGATATGTGCGCCTGTCTAAATTTTAATTTATTATTTATCTCTGAAATTTTGATTTAGAATCCATATGACTTCGGAGAGGGAGATTGTCTTTTGTAGTTTTTGAGTTGCTGCACTGAAATGTATATCTCGAATCTAGTTTTTCTTTCTTCTACAAAGTTTTAGGATCACCTAAAGGTTCAATTGTTTGGTTTCATCTATATTTGGTTAGAGCCCAAATCGTTTCTGCTTGTCACTGCTCATGTTCAAATAAAAGAACATTAACTTGCCCATATCTGTTGTGTTTGTGTTCCTGGTTTGATGCCCATCCCTTATAACTCTGGTGTTTACTTAGTCACAATCTGTTATAAAGACTTTGATAGTTTGATGTGTTAGGTATATTGGCTTTTGATGTAATTGTGTACTCTTAAAATTGAGCTGCTTTTGTATTTGGTATGAGGTGTCTGGTTTTTCTTTGATTTGCACAACACTGTATGATGTTCTTTGAATTTGGTAGGATAATCCGAGCTCTAACATTGCATACTTACCTTTGTAGTCACTACAACAACAACTGCTACGAAAACCTGAAGGAAATGAAGCCATCCTAGCTTTCCAAGCTGCTGGTTTGCAGGGTGTTATGGGTGGGGCTAATTTCATGGGATCTCCAAGCTCATTGCAATTTTCACAGCAGCAAAGAAAATACCTTGATATGGCTCAGCAACATGGATCTCCTCATTTACGTGAAGAAGGTCAAAATAAGAATCCTGCTCATGAGCAACAAGGTTTAAATCCAGTCCATCAAGCATATATGCAATATGCTATGCAGGCTGCAAAGCAAAAATCTGTTATGGGCATGCAACCTCAAGGGCAAACTAACATGGGAATGGGAAGCCCTTCATCTTCAAAAGACCAGGATATGCGTATGGCAAATATGAGAATGCAGGAGCTTGCTTCAATGCAGGCAACTAACCAGGCCCAGGCAGCTGCATCAAAGAAGTCATCTGAGCCTTTTGGTCGTGTCGAGAAGCAGATAGAACAAGGTCAGCAGGGGGGCTCTGATCAGAGGAATGAGCCAAAGCCCCCTATGATGCAGACTAGTATGGGACATCCTGCTTCTGCTAATATGATGAGGCCTGTACAAAATCCACAGGCTCAGGCAGGGATTCAAAACATGGGAAATAATCAAATGGCTGTTGCGGCTCAGTTACAGGCATGGGCACGGGAACGTAATATCGATTTGTCACAACCTGCAAATGCCAATTTGGTGGCGCAGCTGATGCCATTAATGCAGTCTAGGATGATTTCTCAGCAAAAGTCGAATGAAAGTAATTCACAGCCTTCTCCTGTCCCTATGCAAAGACAGCAGGTTACTTCTCCACCTGCTACTAGTGAAAGTTCACCCCGTGCAAACTCTTCAAGTGAGGTTTCTGGGCAGTCAGGTGCTTCTAGAGCTAGGCAAACAGTTCCACCTGGTCCATTTGGTTCAGCTTCAAATGCTGGTATAGGTAACAGTACTAACAATTTGCCTGCACAGCTCTCTGTACACAGTAGAGATAACCAGGCACCTTCAATGCAATCACCAATGGTGGGAAATGGAATGGCTTCTGTCCAGGCATCACGCCCTTCTATGAACTTGAACCAAGGTTCAGAACATTCTATGAATGTTAAAAATGCAGGAAATGGTCAAGAAGCATTGCAAATGCAGTATCCTAGACAGGTAAACCAGCCATCGTCTCGACCAGCAAGTGCACCAAATGATGGAGGATCAGGAAATAATCTTCCTCTCCCAGCTCAGCCGCCATCCCAGATCTCTCAGCAGCAATCTGGATTCACTAAACAGCAACTTCATGTTCTTAAGGCCCAAATTCTTGCCTTTAGACGCCTAAAGGTTTTAAATCTTTCCATTTACTTCCTTTTTTACTATCTGCTTGATTTTCAGTATTCCTTGTACATTCTGGTGGACCCGTTTCAAGCTTGATTTTTGTCGCTCTGCTATCACCTCCCAATTCTCACTCTCAGACTTTGTGCCCTCTCCTTGTTTGCTTACATTCTGAAGGCAATCATTGGAATATGTTGAAGTGTGTAGGACTAAATCCCTGGTTACTTGGTATATGACACTTTTGTTGACTCTAAAGTTTTCTGTCGTTTTTGGATTTACAAATGACCCATAATATTTGTCCACTACAAAAATAATTGCCAAAAATTCTTGAGAGACCTTAGATTTTGTCATATATTTTTTATGGAATTTTGAGTGCTGTACTTGTAGGGAATGTATTTGTTGGGAGCAGAATTGCAGACTGAAAATCCAATATCTATCTGATCGTATATGAATAAAATTAGTGATTTCATCATTGAACTTTTAAAACCTTGAAATTTCCTTGAACTGAAAATCAATGCGTTATACTTGTTTTGCACGTCAACGATTGTGTTGTGCTCTCTAAAACGTGTTAGGATACAATTAAAGATGTGCCATGTTCATTTCTATTTTATTATTTCTTTTCCTTATATAAAAAGTGTGTCCATTTGAAACTCATTTCTTGTTCATCTTGGTCTCTGTTCAGAAAGGGGAAAGCACTCTTCCCCAAGAATTGCTTCGAGCTATTGCTCCCCCTCCTCTTGAATCACAACCACTGCAGTCTGTTGTCCCTGCTGGTTCTATTAATCAGGATAAGTCCACTGTTAGAAATGCTGATGAAAGTCCAAAGCATGCGGACTCTGGTGAGAAGGCTCCCCAAGCTCCCCCGCCTGCTCTTGCAAAAAATTCCCTCAAAGAGGAGATTTCTACAATTGATGAAAAGGCAACAATCTCAACTAATATGGCAGGTGCAACATCTGTGACTAGAGAGACTTCTTCAGTATTATCTCCTGAGAAGGAGGATCAGCAAGCTGCTCCTGTTATTATTAAAGCTGAACAAGATGTTGAACGCAATTTACAAAAAACTCCTAAAAGAAATGATGTTGGTACGGATAGGGGTAAGGCTATTGCGCCAGTATCTGTTGGTGAAAGTGCACAGGCTAAGAAACCCCTGCAAACAGCTTCATTATCCCAGCCAAAAGATGTCAGCTCAAGTAGAAAATATCATGGTCCTTTATTTGATTTTCCCTGTTTTACTAGAAAGCAAGATTCTCTTGGGTCTGCAGTTATGGGTAATAACAATTTGTCTTTGGCGTACGATATCAAAGATCTTCTTTCTGGAGAAGGAATGGAAGTAATTAATAATAAAAGGGCAGAGAACTTGAGGAAGATTGGTGAGTTACTAGCAGTCAACTTAGAGAGGAAGAGGATCAGGCCAGATCTTGTTGTGCGACTGCAGATTGAAGAAAAGAAGCTTAAACTTTTGAACCTTCAAGCACGTGTAAGGGACCAAGTAGATCATGAGCAGCAGGAGATTATGGCAATGACTGACAGGGAATATAGGAAGTTTGTCCGTATTTGCGAGCGACAACGGTTGGAGCTCTCAAGGCAAGTTCAGGCATCACAGAAAGCTATGAGAGAAAAGCAGCTCAAAGCTATATTTCAATGGCGCAAGAAGCTTCTTGAGGCACATTGGGCCATCCGTGATGCCCGGACAGCTCGCAACCGAGGTGTTGCAAAATATCATGAGAGAATGCTTAGAGAGTTCTCAAAGAGAAAGGATGATGATAGAAATAAAAGGATGGAGGCATTGAAGAATAATGATGTGGAAAGGTATAGGGAAATGCTTCTGGAGCAGCAGACTAGCATTTCAGGTGATGCTGCTGAGAGATATAATGTTCTTTCGACATTTTTGACCCAGACTGAAGAATATCTTCACAAATTGGGGAGCAAAATAACTGCCACCAAAAGCCAGCAAGAGGTTCAAGAGGCTGCTGCTGTTGCTGCGGCTGCTGCTCGATCTCAGGTATGATGACCGAGCTCTAGCTGGTCAAGTCTGGTGTTTGTAAAACCAATATGGGCCTAGAAATTTCCTTGATCCTGTTGTTCACTTGTTCATTTTGCATCTGTTATGCCTTTATTATTTCATGTTTATTTTCTGATTTTTTTTTCAATTTTTTTGTCTGGGGGTGTCTTGGGATAAAGGGCTTATCAGAAGAAGAAGTTAGAGCTGCTGCTGCTTGTGCTGGTGAGGAAGTCATGATCCGAAATCAGTTTTCCGAAATGAATGCACCTAAGGATAGTTCATCAGTGAACAAGTATGCTAACCGTTTTCTTTTTCCATCTTTTTCCATAAGTATATATGTTATGGTTGACTTTTTATATAGTCAAATTAGTTACATTGGATGCCTATATCGCTGCCAGTTTGTTTTAAACTTTTCATGCTATCTGGTCTTTCCTCTAAACTAACCTGTGGCTCTATGCTGGTCTGATAAAAGTCCAATTATTTGGATCTTTTACTTTCTATATTGATGACTGTAGTTTATGAATTGTGTATCTATCATAAGCAACCATCTTTGATAACCTTCTAGAAATTATATAACATAAAACTGCCAACAGGTATTACAGTCTTGCTCATGCTATAAATGAGAGGGTCGTGAGACAGCCTTCGATGTTGAGAGCTGGGACTCTGCGAGATTATCAGCTAGTAAGTTGCATTTCTTTGATCAGTGAAATTCATTTTTAGAGTGTATATTCATGATCTTCTTACCCTTTGGTCACAATTGGTAGGTTGGTCTACAGTGGATGCTTTCTTTGTATAACAACAAGTTGAATGGAATTTTGGCAGATGAAATGGGTCTTGGAAAAACTGTACAGGTAATTTGCACCCTTTCTCATCCCCTTCACCAATAGAAATTGTTCCATGTTTAAGCTGCTGCAATTTTTTTTTATTGGAGTGAGCAAAGTGGAAAGATGTATAAGGAGTGGTTTTAGCAAAAGGGAAAGGAAACTCCCAATCTATTCATGTGGCTGTGCTTTATATTTATATATATATTTCCTTCCTCTACTTCAGTTGAATGGGGTCACCCCAAATGCTGTCTTTTTGATTCCCCCCAACTTCTATCTCAGTCTCCCTATCTTCCTTTCTGGCAATTTGATCCGTTCCACCACCAGTTGCAGCTCAAAGCCACCAGCAACCACTTTCATAGCCTCCCACAACACCACCACCACCATCTTTGCTCTTCGCTTCACAATCCATACCGTTATTAGTCACCTAAAATCGCCTCCCTTTGCCACACTGCTTATGAAAGCTTCTGAAACTAACCCCTAGAGAGAAGTGTGCTGTTTTTTGTTATAGTTTTGGGAACCAAACTTTGTGTAGACGTATGATGTTCTGTTTTTATTTATTTTCTTATTTTTTTAATATAAACTAAAGATAATATAATTAAAATACGTTTCTTGATCTGTTTCCATTCATCTCCTTTGCTGATTTATTTTCTCTAGTCAACCAAACGACCCATAATATACTTTACAGTGCTAAACTTTAGAGATACACTTTTTTTTTTTTTTTTAATTACGTATTCCGTTTTTCAGGTGATGGCATTGATTGCTTACTTGATGGAATTCAAAGGGAATTATGGACCCCATCTAATCATAGTTCCGAATGCTGTTTTGGTGAATTGGAAGGTCTGTGGCTACAGTTCCCTAGTCAGCCAAGTAGTCCATATACTCCACATGTTTCTTGGCCTTTGCTAACTGCATTTTTTTTTTCTCAACAGAGTGAGTTGCATACCTGGCTGCCTTCTGTATCCTGCATTTACTATGTTGGTGCAAAGGACCAAAGAGCCAAATTATTTTCTCAAGTAAGGGTTATTTTCTTTGGTTTTCTGATGTATGTACCAATGTGATAAACGTTCAACGGCTTAACATCCTCTTTCTTTATTTCCCAGGAAGTTTGTGCCATGAAATTTAATGTTCTTGTCACAACCTATGAGTTCATTATGTATGATCGTTCAAAGCTCTCTAAAATTGATTGGAAGTATATCGTGATAGATGAAGCACAGCGAATGAAGGACCGAGAATCAGTTCTAGCACGTGACTTGGACAGATATCGTTGCCAGAGGCGTCTTCTTTTGACAGGGACTCCTTTGCAGGTTTGTTAGAAATTATTACTGGATCTTGTATTCTATCATTTGTGCTGCTCAACTGCTCGAGTTGTGATAATTATTGTCCGTGTTGGTGTCTTAGTGATACTAAGATCAGCATAATAATACTTTGCTAATATTCACATGCTGAATGTTCTTTTTTATTGATTGTTTGGATTTTTCAATGATTAAGCTGGGCCTCTTCAGACTCCTGCAATCTAGTTGTCTAGCTTCTTTTATAGTTAGCATTTGGGTGTCTGTTCATTTGAAGTGTGTTTGCAATACTATCTTGGATTGGAATTTTTAGGATATATCTAAAATAATAGATAGACAGCACCTGCTGCCGAACATAAAATAGTTGAGATTATATTAATGACTGGTGTTTTATATGTGTGTTTTCTCTCATGATGGATTTTTCGATCTTGTAGAATGATTTGAAGGAACTGTGGTCTCTATTAAATTTACTTCTACCTGAAGTATTTGACAATCGCAAAGCATTCCATGACTGGTTTTCTCAACCATTCCAAAAAGAAGGCCCTACCCATAATGCTGAGGATGATTGGCTTGAGACAGAAAAGAAGGTTATCATTATCCATCGACTTCATCAGATTTTGGAGCCATTTATGCTCAGACGCCGTGTTGAAGATGTAGAAGGCTCCCTTCCTGCTAAGGTATGTATCTATCTACTTCTTCGATTATATATCTAATTTCCTTCTCTTGTCTTTCTAACATCCAAATTGGTTGCAGGTGTCATTTGTTTTAAAATGTAAGATGTCTGCTATCCAGAGTTCTATATATGATTGGGTTAAAACTACTGGGACTCTTCGTGTGGATCCTGAGGATGAGAAGCTTAAGGTCCAAAAAAGTCCGTATTACCAGGCTAGAGCTTACAGAACTTTAAATAATAGGTGTATGGAACTCCGGAAACTTTGTAATCATCCATTGCTTAGCTACCCATTTTTTAATGACTTTTCAAAGGATTTTCTTGTGAAGTCATGTGGGAAATTATGGATCTTGGACAGAATTCTTATAAAACTTCACAGAACTGGACACCGGGTGCTCCTCTTTAGTACCATGACCAAGCTTCTTGACATCTTGGAGGAATATTTACAGTGGAGGCGACTCTTGTATAGGCGAATTGATGGAACTACTAGCTTGGAAGACCGGGAATCTGCAATTGTGGACTTTAATGATCCGCAGACTGAGTGCTTTATCTTTTTGCTGAGTATCCGTGCTGCTGGACGAGGTTTAAATTTACAAACTGCTGATACAGTCATTATTTATGATCCTGATCCGAACCCCAAAAACGAGGAACAGGCAGTTGCCAGAGCTCATCGCATAGGACAAAAAAGGGAAGTCAAAGTCATCTACATGGAAGCAGTTGTTGATAAAATACCTAGCCATATAAAGGAGGATGAGTTCAGAACTGGAGGGATGGTTGACTTAGAAGATGATCTTGTGGGAAAGGATCGATATGTGGGTTCGATTGAGAGCCTAATAAGAAATAATATTCAACAATATAAGATTGACATGGCTGATGAAGTAATCAATGCTGGACGTTTTGATCAAAGAACAACACACGAGGAGAGACGAATGACATTAGAAACGCTATTGCATGATGAAGAGAGGTATCAAGAGACTGTTCATGACGTTCCCTCTCTGCAGGAGGTAAATCGATTGATTGCAAGGAGTGAAGAAGAAGTTGAGCTCTTTGATCAGATGGATGAAGAACTTGATTGGATTGAGGAGATGACGAGGTATGATCAGGTACCTGAGTGGCTTCGAGCCAGTACCAAGGAAGTTAATTCAGCCATTTCAGCTTTGTCCAAGAAGCCGTCAAAGGACATATTTAGCGGCAATGCGGAAGTGGAACCAGGTGAAACTGAGAAAAGAAGGGGGCGATATAAGGGGAAGAAAGTTCCTGTGTACACTGAGTTGGATGATGACATTGGAGACTCCTCTGACGCTAGTTCTGAAGACAGAAATGAATATTCTGCTCCTGAAGAGGATGGTGAAGTTGGAGAATATGAAGATGAGGAGGAGGATGCTGCTGAAGACAATAAAGACCAGTCAGAGGAGGATGTTCCTGTTAATGATGGGTTTGATTATCCTCGAGCTAGTGAAAGTACCAGAGCTGGTCATATGGTAGATGAACCTGGATCCCCTGGATCATCATCAGACAGTCGCAGGATCACACGGGCAGTCTCACCCTCTGTATCTTCTCAGAAGTTCGCAACTCTATCAGCTATAGATGCCAGGCCTAGTTCTGGCTCCAAAAAACTGGTATATTTTCCTCCTGTTCCTAAAATCATTTATGTTGTCCCTTTTTTTAAAAATAAATAAATAAAATTATATATATATATATACCAATTCATCTTTTGTTAATGTTCAGCTTGATGAGCTCGAGGAGGGGGAGATTGTTGTTTCTGGAGATTCACATTTGGATATGCAGCAGTCAGGTAGCTGGAATCATGAGCGTGAAGAAGGAGAAGATGAACAGGTGGTGCAGCCCAAAATCAAAAGAAAGCGTAGCATAAGACTTCGGCCAAGGCATACTATTGATAGACCAGAAGAGAGGTATAGTGAAAAGATGTCTCTTCAACGCGGAGATCCATCACAATCTCAATGTTTACCAGATCAAAGGTTTGGAAGTCAATTGAGGATTGATCCAGAGTCCAAAACGTTTGGAGATTCTTCTGCTCTGAAGCAAGATCAATGTGATATGTCTTCAAAAACTCGTAGAAGCTTACCTTCAAGGAGAACCGGAAGTACATCAAAGCTGCATGCCTCTACTCAATCTGGTAGATTGAATAGCTTGTCTAATCCCACCGAAGAAGCATTCGAGAATTCCAGGGACAGTTTTGATGGTAACAAAGATGTGAACACATCCGGAAATTCAAGCTTTGGTGCTAAGATGTCCGACATCATTCAGAGAAGGGTATGTTTTAATTGGTCCACTTTAAAGATAAACGTGCTTACATAAATTCGAATGCGGCTGTTTTCACTCTTAGTCCCCCCCACCCTCTTCCCTCCCCATTTTATTGCAAAATTATATAGCGGACAGCCGGACAATATATTGAAACATGCTAAATTTTATATACTTTAAAAGTGCTTGTGTCCTTACTAAATTCCTAGCAGACATGTGAAGGATTCGTGTGATATTTTTCTAAAGTACAAGTGTATTTAGGTGACTTACCTTAATTACTCCGTATAAGTAATCAGAGTTGGTTATTAATTTCAATCATGCACTAGTTGTTGGTATGCTCTCTAGGTCTAGGGGCTTTAAGATTCTGGTTCTTTTTTTTTTGTTCCATGTCACAATCTTAAACTGAATCTTTTTCTCTGAGTTTCATTTTTGGTTTATGTCACCCGGTCATCTGAAGCACAGCTGTTGTCTAGGTCGTTTACTTTATACTTGGATTTGTCATATATATTTCAGAATTGTTTATCCTTGACACTGTATCTTGCCCATAATCTGCTCTGACCTTGTAATATGGAGAGGACCAAAGTATTGTAATTGACAATTGCATTACCTCTTCTTAAGAATACATTGATTTAGATGCCTGGAAGTAGGTTTTTGGTGATTTTTTTTCCCTTTTGGTGGTTAAGATTGATTTCTTGAAGTTTGTGCAAAAGCATGATTCAATCTTTTGTCCATCTGTAGTGCAAGAATGTGATCGGCAGGGTCCAGAAGAGGATAGACAAGGAAGGCCATGTTGTACCTCTCCTGATAGATTTGTGGAAGAAAACTGAAAGTTCAGGCTATACAAATGGACCAGGAAACAAACTATTGGATTTACGTAAAATAGACCATCGAATTGACAGACTACAGTATAGTGGAGTGATGGAAGTTGTTAATGATGTGCAATTGATGTTGAAAAGTGCAGTGCAGTATTATGGTTTTTCACATGAGGTATGTCTTGTTTGTTATCAATATTAATTATGCTCTTCAGAAGTTCAATCTTTACAACATAAATAAGCTGTATACTTCATATTTGTTTAATTACGATAACTAAAACTGATTTAGCTACACAATTGCTGTGCTCTCTAATGCTCCCATAGGACTTTCTGTCTAGTGTCATTTGTGCACTTGACTAATAATTATCATTGTGGATATCAAAGAATATTATCCGTTGATAGAAATTGGACTATAAAGGGCTGTAAAAAGTCTGATCAATCCTTGTTTGTAAGGTTAAATCTTGTTTGTTAGTAATTCTCTCCTACTGAACTGTCTTTGGCTGAGCTAATGGTTGTAAGCTAATATGAATGCATCTATGTATCTAAATTTCTATCCATCATTCCATCTCTTATTGCGTGAAGAACTCTGGTGCAATTCCAGTTCATTAAATCTGTTGATTTTTATTTTCTTGTTGACAAATATCTAGCATGTATGAAGAATTGGTACAAATGACATTAGCTTATCCAGGGAACGGGCTTCCAGAGCAGTAGAGAATTCTGTCACCAGGGTCAACAATTGCTCTGTTGTCCCTTTGTTTAATCATAAAAAAATTTCTTGTTGTGGGCTTGTTGCATTAACTTGTCTCCTTGTATGAAGAACAACATTTCCTAAAAAACTCTGAAGTTCATTTTGCAGAACAGTGTGTATTTCAAAAAATTTTGTTACTTGAGACTTTTTAGTCTGTTTAAAATAAACTTAGTTCACCCTCCTATTACTCCCTCTCTGAAGAGAAAGGGAGAAAGATGGCATTTTGCATGCTGTTCATATAGTTTCTTAGTTGCTTTCAGCATGTGTAGCAAGTTGATCTTTATATACAGGGCAATAGCTACATCTTTTGTTTATGTGGGATGTAGACTGTTGTTTGTCTGTTTCAAAGTATATCAAAAGAATTATCTTCCTCACTGAAGAGTTGTGTTCGACTTTTTAGATAGCTAGTTGGTAGGATGGAGTTAAATTATGTACTTTGTAGTGGTAATTGAAGAGTGAGCCTGTCCTCATCGTTGATATAACAGGATTATCATATATCAGGATGCTCTAGGATTCTGTTCGAAAGAAATGTGTTGGGTTTAATCGTCTAAGTTTGAGCTCTGCATGTTTCCTAGTATATAGTATTGGAGATAAAGGGTCAAGCTTTTACCCACATGCTACTCTCAAAATAAGGAAAACTTTTGAGCAGTGCATGTTTCCTAGTAGATGGTATTTGAACAAGATATTTAGCTGCGTATGTCCTATTATAATAAAATACTCCACAGATTTTAATACTGCCTATTGTTTGTATGGGCAGGTGAGATGTGAAGCAAGGAAAGTTCATGATCTATTTTTCGACATATTGAAGGGTTCTTTCCCAGATGTTGATTTCCAGGAGGCCAAAAATACTGTGTCTTTCTCTGGTCCACCATCAACTGCAGCTTCTGTTGCTTTGAGATCCACATCTGCATCACAAGGTAGTAATAGAAAGCAAAGATTGATGAATGATGTTGAACGAGGTGATTTGAACCCATCCCCAAGGCAGTCATTGCGAGGTCCCCCTATTATGGCTAATGAAGACTCAAGGATGACGAGATCCCATTTGCCTGTAAAAGAATCGAGGCTCGGCAGCAGTAGCATTCGAGACCAAGATGACTCTCCCCTGCTGACTCACCCAGGAGACTTGGTTGTATGCAAGAAAAAGAGGAAGGACAGGGAAAAGCCTGCGGCTGTGAATACAAGATCTGGGTCCACAGGACCTGTCTCTCCTCCAAGCATGGGACGAAGTAGTATAAGGAGCCCTGGTTCAGTGTCAACCCCAAGGGATAGTCGAGCAGGTGGGCAGCAGCAGATGTGGTCCAATCAGTCGTCCCAACAGGTTAATGGCAGCGGTAGTAGTGGTGGAACGATTGGATGGGCCAACCCTGTAAAGAGATTGAGGACAGATGCAGGAAAGAGGAGACCGAGCATTATGTGATTGAAACATTATATTACATTTGAAGTATGATGATGTTTAAAGAAAATTCCTTTGCCCTTAATGTGTAAGCAGGTATAGGGTAACTAGTAGATCTGTACAAGTACAGTTAGGCTTTTAGGCTTTACCCCGCTCCCTCTAATTTTTTCTTAGTGTTTTTCCTCCTTTTGCTAAGCATATACTTCCTTTTCGTTGTCATATAATTCGAGCATCATTGCCGCCATTGTATATCTGGTGCTCTGTCCTGTGAATGTTATGTTCTCATAGCACTATAGTCTCCTCTCTGGCTCTCTGTTAATGTTATTTAGTTTGCGTTGTGGCGCACATTAGCTATCATTCGGCAATGCTGTATCAGTGTCACTTTTAATATACAGAGTAATTGATCACACCTTATTTTTGAGTTTGCCATGACTGCCAAATTGGTATTTTATTTTATTTGTTTTATTTTTTTCGGGAACCTGACTACCAAATTGTTTAATACTCATATTTTTAACAACTTTCACATGGATCTTAGAATGATCTGAAAATTACAGTTTCACACCATAACTTGATACATCGTCGGACATGGTTGCTCGTAATAAATTTCTTTATAGGAAGAAAAGACTTCATTAATAAGATAGTCAAAACGGCATTTACAAACATTCCTAAGAAATCTAAAATTCCAACACAAGTACATAACATCTTAGAACTAATTACATCGCAAATTCGATCAACAATCATCTTAATAAAAAAAACGTTATAGAAAGTAATACAATCTGTGAGTTAGCATTAATTCGACCTGAAATAAAAAATTAAAAAAAGTCACAAAAAGCGATACAATTTGTGAGTTAGCATTAATTTAACTTAAAATCCACTTATGCATAGTCGTAATAATTTTAGACATATAAATTCGCACCATGGTATTTTAGTTGGACTACAATGTGATAATTATAGATTTCAAACTAATTTTAAAATTCGCACCATGGTATTCGCACGAGTGACTTTTTTTTGTTAATTTTTAAAATTGGTCTTGTTTGTTTATTTAATAAAACAAAACAAATGTACGGTAAATGAACCTTTTGAAAACAATGGAAGATGATTGTAATTTGATAAAAATGAAAGCAGAGAATTTAGCCTTTTAGGTAAGGTGCAACCCACTTGAAGTGAAGAGATTTAAGAAATTCCCCCAACTGAACTCTATGAGATTTGATACCTAGACCGTAGGAATCTGAGGAGGAAAACAAGTACACTACCAGCAAATCGGACCTCGAACAATTAGAAATCTAAACAATTGTGCGTGAATATTAAATAGACAGAGCGTACATTTATTTACAAAGACAGATTGAACAAATTAAAGGAACTTGGGGACAGTCACTTCCCCCCCAACAAATAATTCCCAACAGACAGTCTTTACATTAGTGTTGGGGATTGATTCAACCAGACCTACTTGATAGATAATGTACAGATACAGTAAATTCAATGAGATGAACTGAGTACATGCAACTACGGATCTGCTTCACCCACCATTGCTTCATCACTCGAAGCATATTCATCCTCGCTCAGCTCCTCATCGCTACTCTTTTCTTCTGGAGCAGCTCCTGCATCTTCTGGCTTTGCATACTTCTCACAGTATTCTGTAAAATAACATACATACCACGCAAGATCCCATCATGATCTAGTGACTCGATAATATAATCAGGATTGGGATTATTTAGCCATTTAGGCATCTACTGACTTTCTGTATGACATTCTTCCCTTTTCTGAATACTTAAGACTCTCATTTGATAGTCTTAAAAATCACACAATAAGTACAACTGTACAAACAATTCAAAACAATACAAATGTCATTTTATCTTTCTAGTAGATTTCCTAAGTTCCTAAAAAGATTGTAGAATACTGTCACCCATGAGTTTAAACAGGTAACGAGCTTGAAGACAAGGAGATAGGAAAATATGGCACATTTTATCTCATGATTCAAGTGGTACTAGATAAAAAAAAACCTTGCTTATTTCAGCGGTGATTACAGTGACAGGGAAAGGAGAGAACTTTCTTATAATAACAAGGAACATTTCCAAGATATGAATGGTATAATCCATACCACCGTCATAAGCTAGTCTTCCATGAAAACCTTTTACACTATACATGCAGCAAGAATACATTCTTCAACTAAAAAAACAGAATTAATAATAAATCAGTACCCAAATTGACTAAATATAAAGCAAATTTTCTATAACAAAGTTTCTGAAAATTATAGGCCACTTTATAGATTTAGTTAACTCCTGAGTTTTCCCATGCTAATATTGATAATATCTTCACTAAAAGTTCCAAAGAAAATTACATTGTGGTACAATGAAAAAGTTAAAAATACAGATAGTGAAGCATATTCATGGAATTTCACCTCAACACCCTAAAGAAATCCACAACCAAATAACTGAATGTATAGAGATCAGTGAGGAATAATCGGTGAGTTGAGAAGTTTTTCTGCTTTGTTTTAGATTGACATTTCGAAGTATCCAGCCACTCAAATAACTGGGCTTGCAATCCTCTTGATGATGATTTAATTGCATTGCTAATACAATCATTTATCAAACTTCACCCAAATACTTGTTTTGTTCATTTCTATATTTCTTATTTTCCAGTCTATGACAGGTCTCTTCCCCCAACTTACAAGTCATATTTACTACTCTCTTCCACCTCTTAGCTAACCCATCTAAAGATTAAAGTGGGAAAGGAAGTACAGGAAAATATTAGAATGCCAAATTCAAGTAAGCTTCATAAGCCTTACCTCCAAACCCAAAGAATAATTAGCTCTCTTCCATCCATATAGCTTCCTAAAGGCCTTCCTAAAACTACTACAATAATTCCCTAAGGAGAAAGTCAAAATGAGACGAAATTATGGATGATAGACCCCGCCAAGGGAGAAATCCTAATTTCAATCTCAGCTAGTAATCACTAACTGAAGCTATAACAAGATTCTTTGCAATAAAATGCAAAATAAGACAATTCAAAAGAAAGCATGTTGAGTTGTTGACTCAATATAGAAAGGCTTCTAGGCTAGGGATCTAGAATAATAAGAAGCTCCACAGAAGCATCCTGATACTGAAAGATTCTATTCCAAAAGTACAACTGCCTTTCAGACAATCACCCTCTCACTACTACGCTACTCGTCAATAACATGGCCTCCCCTCCCCACAACTTTTTTTCCAAAGAAATGATAAAATCTAAGATAAGAGTCCAACATAAGGGATCTGCCAGTCTATTATCTTCTATGACAATTAATATGACATGATTAAATCACATGACAATACGTGAGGGTGCTTGATAACCTAAAGCTCGTTTGCTTAAACAGGTTCCTGACACAAGTCATCAAGATCAAGAAAGATAAAGTTCTAACTTGAAATGAATATAGTTTTCTTAGACCTTAGGAATGTATGTAGCATGACAGAAGATGAATGTAGTGTGCTTAACATGAAGGAATATCGGAAAACCATACATAAATTTATGAAGAATTAGATAAGGAAATGAAACCAGCAAAGGGAACCCATGTCAACCACCATAATTGCAGCCAAAAAAAAAAAAAATTCATTACAGTTTATACCTTTAACTCTTTGGTCATACGCAGCTCGATCTCGCATCATCAGAGCAGCAGCCTCTCCATTAAGGGGGTCTGAAGGGTTGGGGTACAACAGAAGCTGTGGGAGGAACACCTCAAAAACATTTACCAAATCTGGGAAACATGAACATAAGCATGTCAGAACAACTCCTTTAACCAGCAACAAATTATGAACTCATTGAACAATCATAAAATACACTAAAAGGGATCTCTGCATTACCAAACATCGGACTCCAAGTCTGATTAATGACATCAAGACAGACTGAACCTGACCTGAATATACAAAGTGCCCCCACAAAACAGTGAGCTATATATTATTCAAACAACTAAGCACCAGGCAGCTAAGTACGCGAAAATAGAGCAATATACAATATGCCACAAACTTACATCTCGTCAACATTGGGATGGTATATCTTGTTTATAAACCCTATAGATGGAGATTTGTATGGGTAAGCATCTGGAAGCTCAACCCTAATCCTCCACACACCTCCATGATACGGACCTAAAATAATCCAATTTCAAAAACCATAACTAATCCAATCAAATTACAAATTACCAACATATATGCTGCTTTAATTTTCATAATGGAGAAAGGGGAATACTCAACAATATATAGCTATATCGTATGTATCTGTATACCATACTAATTCACAAGCCACTGAAACAGATTCCCCCCTGAACACATCTGAGACTTAATTAATGAATAAATGGTCACATTGGAGATGTAAATAAAAGTCTTATATATTGTAAATCAATTGTCACATCCATAAGAAGTAAGATCTTTAATAATCAAACACAAACTATTGGGTGCGGGCAAGCCGATATACACAAAACCATATGCACAACAAACTAATAGGGCTACTTCTTGCATCAAAAAAAAAAAAAAAAAAAGGCCTACTCCAAATCCAGGCCTAAAGTAAGAGCTAGTGACCTAGTGTGAATGCAGAGGATTTCAAGATAAATTGTAAAGGAATTTTCTCCAAGATAGTATCAATCAAGATTAACCCTTTACATAAATCATTGAAAATTGAATATATACTTATGTAATAAATCATATACAAAATTGTAAATTCATAGCTGAATATAAACAAGAAAATCATCCAAAAAAAGGAACCAATTCTAAATATAGCTAAATTGTTATAAGAAGTTCCCCAAAATACCAATGATCAACAAAAGGTCAAAGTGATAAAAATTATCAGTAATAAGTAAATACCCAAAAAAAATCATCAAACAAAATAGCAAGCAATTTCTTCACATACCAAAAACAAAAAAAAAATAATTACCCAATGCAGAAAAAAATAAATAATAAACCAAACAAAATAGAGATTAAAACAGTAGATAATTACTTTCGGCGGGCCCGTGAAATTCCACATAGAATTCTTGCATACCATCATTAATCATCTCCACTTTGTAATCACTCATCATCCTAATTTCACAAAATCAATCAATTAATCACCATATACAAAATAAATTAAAGCTAAATTCTTTAGAAAGTGAACAAAACAAACAAATAAACAAGCTTAATAATAATAATAATAATAATAATAATAATAATAATAATAATAATAATAATAATAATAATAATAATAATAATAATAATAATAATAATAATAATAATAATAATAATAATAATAATAATAATAATAATAATAAGAAGAAGAAGAGAAAAATTAGAAAATTCACAGTTTCATCAAGTCCATCTCTCGTCGTTTACTTGGGGAAGACATGGTTGCTCCTTTTTTGCAGTAATCAAATTGAGGGTTTTCTGAGTTTTAGAGAGAGAAAGAGAGGTGTTAGATAGAAGCAAAGAATGGGAGGTCTGCAAACAACAACAATGGTTGAAGAAGATACAAGAAACAAACAAAGAAAGAAGAAAAGTAGGAGTATTACCAAATGAGGGCCTATTTTCTTAATGCAAATAGTATTACAGTATTATTTTTTTCATTTAGTATTAATAAATATTTGGTTAAATTAATTAGATTAATATTTGGTTAAAATAATCTTGAAAAAATAGATGGCTTGCATTTTGAAGATTCTCTCTTTTCATTTTTTGACACCTATCACTATTGTCAGAGTTTCTTTCTCTGACTAAACTACAGAATTTTCCGAGATTGGTAGTACTAGTATTAATCCTGAATCTTATCTGTATGATTACTATAATTAGATATTGAGTTAATGGATTTATTCACTATCACTAGTTTATGGGGATTACTCACTTTTGTTATACTGTATATCGTCTAGAATTAATAATCACATTATTTTAACCGGATATAGTTTCTTTTATATGGACATAATAATTAGATCAAGCTTTATTTGAGAATTCAACATTTTAATCCACGTTAGTAATTAATTATTACAAAGATTTATGATATGTGGATGTTAATTAGGTTAAGTGATTCCTAGCAATTATTTTGGTGAATGGTGCATAAGATTTTTTTATTTAAGCATCATGTGGACATAATGATATCACCGTTGCAATTATAGGCTTGGTGTTATGTTGCTTTCCATTTCAATATTATCTCTGTTTGTTTTCCTTTTTCTTTCAAGGGGAAGAATACAAACTAATTTTCATTCATCAAAACAATATGAGGCACAAATGTTATGAATAAGACAATAATGTATGCCCACTTAAGATAGAACGTTTTATTTATCACTTTGACATATACCCAACTTGTCTTTCTACAACCTTTATCCTTTACTCTTAGAGAAAATCTTACGTGAACCTGGTCCACGATAATATTATTGTGGACCTAAGGTTTATATACACGCTATTGACATTATATTGAATATAGTGACTCTAATTTTAATATAATAACCTCGTATTTAACATAGTAACCTTTATTAAAACTTGTACGACCTTTAATGTTATTGTGAACCTCAAGTACGACGTTATGTTGAACATAGTGATTCTAATTTTAACATAGTGACCCTAATTTTAACACGGTGACATTTATTATTCATATTGACCCGTATAAATAAAATAAAATAAAAAGAAAATAAAAAACCTCTTATAGATTTTATAATATCACAATGACTTTTATTTCAGCATAATAATAACCTTTATTTTGATATTGTGACCCTTATTTTTTTATTAATAAAACAATCATAGTGTCTCTAATCAGGGTCGTCCCAACCTTTTTGGAGGCCTTGTGCAAATATGGAGTGTATAATTTGGTACTTGAATTATCTCTACTCAACTTATTTTTATACCAAAAAATAAAATTGTTGTTTTTTCCCCCACTTAAAAATTCAAATATATAAATGCTGTAATTATCAAAATGAAATATAAAGGATTTAATCATTTACTATGGCAGAAAACAAAATGCATGAATAGTTGTGAAAATAGTAAATATTAAATTAAATTAAATAGGTGTTAATTACATTTTGACAAAAATATTGAAAATTTAGCTGGTCGGATCCGATCCCGCTGCCTTCAGCAGTAAGCTTGAGAGCATTAACCACTAGGCCACAATTAGTAAGCTTGCAGCATATATTATTTATTCATATTTACTTTTGAGGCCCCAACCAAATTCGGTCCCTGGGGAGCCGCGCAGTCTGTACGGCCCTGTCTCTAATATTAGTAGTCCACAATAAATTAGCATGAACTAGGTTTATTTAAGAAGTTATATTACTCTTATATAATTTTCGAGAAAATACAAGTTTATTTTCATAAGAAACAAAAAAAAATGTTTATTTAGTGTCATTTTTGTAAATAAATGAGATGGTTCTAGGCATTAAGTAGGACTCTCAAGTCCTTTTGGCATGATTTTAAAAAACGTTTATCTAGTGTCATTTTTGTAAAATAAACGATTACAAGTATGGCATGGTGAAGGATGAAAAAGGCATGAATGAGATGGTTTCGGGCACTAAGAACTCTCAAGGCCCTTTGGGAACCCTGGAATTACCAAGATCCATAATCTTGCCGCGTTAAAAAATGATCTATCGAAGCCAAATTTGAAGGCTTATATACTACACGAAATCGGAGCAATTTCAAAAGGTTTTGGGACCTAGTCTAAAAATTTCATATAATAATATGAGATGCATCTCGGGGTCATATAAGGTTGTTAGGCCCATATACGGGTCATTAATCAGTTACATAAAGGCCCCATTGGAGTTTTTAGTCAATACTGACTTGTACTCCCTCCGTCCTATAATACTTGACACGGTTACCATTTCCGTCCGTCTCAAATGAAAGAAATGGTGTCCTTCAAATAAGTGTATTATTCCGGTAGAGGGTTCGGAATTAATTAGAAAGCTAATTATTCAGTGAGGTCAAGTGATCGGAATGCCTAGTTGGAGGCCGCTTCCGATCAGTAATATTAATGCATAATTAATATTAAATCTTAATCTTGACTGAACTCTTTGGGTCACACCCAATCGTGTAACCGAATCGAAACGACGAATTAATCCGAAGGATTAAATGAGTCAATAGAGTATTTACGAACAAAGACGTCGGATTTCGGGCTTAGAGTGTCGTAAGTCAAGTCGAAGTTAGGAATCAACGAGACGGAAAAATCGACCAAACGACGAGTCATTGCTAAGCAAAGATGGCTAGCATGGCTGGTCGCACTTACTAGGCAAGCTAGCAGCCAGCCCCGCACCATTGCAAGGCTAGCAAAAGCAAATGTTCGGTGAGCCTCGCGCATGGTCGCAGCAGCTAGCTAGGCGCAGCCTAGCACAGGCATCGCAGCAGCTAGCTGGGCACAGCCTAGCAAAAGCAACGCAGCAGCAACAGCCCACATTGCGTGCGTGCATGCAGGCTAGCTGGTAGGCGCCAGCGAGGCTGCCTTGGCTGCCAAAGCAGGCCGCTAGCTAGCGTGTGCTTGTTGGCTTGGTTTGTTGAGAGTTTGCTTGGGGAGCAAGGGGTGGATGGTCCCCCCATGTGGTCCTCACCTAACCACTTGCTCTCCCCTTGCCACATGTCGTTTGGTAATTCATTTGGAAATTTAATTTAATTTGTAATTAAATTAAATTCCATTTTTCATTTTTTCCAACTCTCCCACATTGATGGGAGATTAGATTTCAAGGGCTCATTTCCCCCCTATAAATACCAATCATTTGGCATTGGGAAAGGGCACTTGAGTTGTGAACTTTAAGGGATCTCCAAGAAGAGAAAACCTTTGTTCTAATACTCTAAGTTATTTTTGGCCTAGCCCCAACTAAGCTTCGGGGTAAGGGCCGACTCGGTTCGGGGAGTGAGGGTGTTAGCCGTCGGAGGTTCTCGCATTTGAGGGACTCTACGCTTTCAAGTTCGAGCTCTAAGTGAGAGCGAAGCACGCTTCAAGGGTAATGATTCTTTCTCTCTCTTCTTGTTAATCATGTGATTATGGTTTTAATACATTCTTAGTTACTTTAATTTTTACGCGGATTTTGGGCGAGTTTCCTTCCGCGTGATGTTGGACATCACGAAACCTAACACCAAAATACTTGACATGTTACTAAATATGGAATGAGACCACTAATAAAAAAATATTTTCCTATACTCTCTTTGGACCACTATAGACACCTGATTGTGTCTCCTCAAAAACCAAACCTAGTGATGAGTACCTTTCACGTCTTTGATTATCGAGTTAGGTGAAAGAGTTGAAGAGTCTCGTGAATTCCCTTTAGCCTTGACCATTTCTAGTCTTTCCTTAAATGTTTTAAACCAAAATCATTCATTTCGTGTCCTCTTTATAAAACGTCCAAACTAGTCTATTTTGGTCCATGATTCTGGTCCAATTATTGTGTAGTTGGTTGGGGCTTGAAAAGAGTTTTCCAACGATATATTATAAGCCCAAATCTGACTTATAACGAAGAAGTTATGACCAAAATACTAAACCGAGCCCGAACCAAGCCTTACCTGCGACCCAATGACCATGTGGAGGGTCCATTAACCTTAACCTCATTCCTAAACCAATTAGGATTTATTACAAGCTTCTAGAATCCATTAGGATTTATAATTAGCTTCTAGAATCCTCTAAAATGTTCTAATTTATCCTGTTTTTGAAAAGATTAAGATTTAAGAATTTTACATCGAATAAAACATCTGTTTTTTTTAATGATCCTAATCCCGGTCAAAATATAATACGTACAGATATTCAGTTAGCCCAATCCGATTGGGAATAGAATTCCGTATGGATTAATCTTTCAAAAACCATCATTGAGCGACAGCACCATCGCGCCACGATGGAATCTGTTTTACTTTGAGTTGATTTCTGACTCTTTTCTGATCGTTTCGACTCTTTTTTTCCTTATAAATAAAGGTCATTTCACCCCGTTTTCAATCATCAACAAGCTTGATCACCAACAATCATCATCTAATCCCTTCTCTAATACTTTCTCTCTCTCGTGATTCTTTTCTTAGCCTAGCCTAAACCTGTCCTTATACATCCTTGATGCTTTTCCCTAAGCAAACACCATACGTCCATACCTCCATCACGAGCTTCAAATACTCCTAGCCAATCTCGAAGTTGTTTTCGACCTCAAGGTGAAAAGTTGATAGTTCTGAGGGTTTGGTCCCAAATCTATATTTCAATTCTTATTTGGTTTATTTGATTTAATCTTTCTTGAAGTTACTAACGTGTGTATTGTTTTGATAGAAAGAGGTACGAGGCATCAAAGTAAGTAATTCGATTACTTAATTATTCTTTTGGTATAGAAATCATGATTAAAATCTTATCTTAATTCCTAGTATCATGTTAGGATGTTTTTATGATTTTTAGTATCATGATTAGGATGTTTATTTTAATTGATAGAATCATGTTTAGGATAATGCTTTGATCTTTATTTATTAGTGACATGCTAGGGTTTGTTATTAATCTGTTTACTATCATGCCTAGGATCTTACTAATCATGTTTTGATGATTTTTATTATGATGATGATTGTTGTGTCAATTTATTACATTGCTTGATTATTCATGATTGATTGTTGTTGCTTGATCACGTCCTTTCTTGCAGGTTTAATGGGAATTTGTACTTGAAATCACGCCTAATAAGATAATTAATAATTTGATTTAGGCTAATATGATTTTAATTCAAGTGATCACCAATAGTAGATTTATTTGTGCATTAATAATCAACCAATGTATATTAA